AAATTAATTTGACTATAAAATGTTATGCTATACTTTAATAAAAATAAAAAAATATTGACATTGTATTCCTCCTTCACATTTTAAAACTACCTGTCCACAAAATACTTACTAAACCCACAACCAACTAAAATGGCATCTTATTCTCTAGCTAGACCTCTTAATAAACCGTTTCAACCTAACAATTTAACTCTATCTTTAATTTTATATTATAGTACTTAAATAGGTATATTAAAAGCACACAACACGAACAAAGCAAAAGAAAACCGTTCTATTCATGAATAAATAAATAATAAATAAAGGCCAATCACTTATAACTTTCAAAAAATATTTAAGGCGAAGGAGAAACGCCTCGTCTGTAAATAATAAACAACTTAGCTTACTTATCTACGCTCATATTAAACACCTGCTCGTACATTACTCCAAACCAGGCCTAGTAGTTAGCTTATATGAATGTAACACCAACGTTTCAAAACCTCTACAATCAATTGTTAAAGCGTAAGTGATTTTTTAAAACAGTCCGAGGCCTTTGATGAACTACATAAAGCAAATAACTTTTACATTATGAAGCAGGCACCTATATTTGAAGTGTAGTTAATTTTAATAAGTAATACAATACAATTAAACTTCTCAGAGATTGCATTAATTTTAATTAATCAAAAAGAATCATAAGAGATTAAAAAGGGATTGGGTTTCTCAAGGTACAATCCTGGGCCCCTTATTATTCATTATACAACTTAAATCCACCTTAATGATTGATGTACGGATATGGATTAAAGTAGATGTAGGTAACCATTAATTAGATAAGATAACAAAAAAAATATTTGAGCACACGTGAAACATTATATCATCTCATAAAGATTATAAGTTACTTTGGACGATGCAAACTGTACCTAAGTTTTCAGTAAACCACAAAAAGTTATGAATCACTTTCTGAATTCTTAACTTAATTCTCAATTCGACTGATTCGCTTTGAAAATAAAAACATCTTAGTTTGGTGAAGATGGAAAATGGCGTGTGAGATCTCGCGACATAGATACAACATTATAGTTAATCACCACAGGATAAAATACCTAATTAACATATTCACGATGTTGAAATAACATAGGTACATGCGGAACCTTGCTACAGATTTAAGCACTACAAGAAGACAGTACTTAGACCAGAAAGAGTTTTTTAAAATCCAACTTTAAAAGAACGCGATGACAATCCTAGATCCTAAGCACAGAAGACTTTCTATTCCAAATCCAAGGCACGGATCCTGTTCCTGAACCTTTGCTGCTTAACAAATAAATAAGTACAAGGAATTTATTAAAACATGAATAAATCAATGGTATGTGTTAATTATTTTACTGAACAATTTAATGCATTATTCCATAGACAAGTCTGAAATTTGGAACAGCTGGGAACAGCATGTTGATATTTATTATTATTACCTATCGCTTTTATGAAATGAACCATATTTTTGTATTATGGTATTATTATCATATTTTTATTTTTCTTTATTTTTGCGGACATATAAGTACTTACATAATAAATTTATAATAAGTAATTTATAAAAAAATCCATTTAAATAATACATAATATTATAGTAAAAGGGCGTTTGCACATTCAGTTTCTGTTTAATGGTGTGGGGTGTGTTTCTAGAAGAAGTTATTAATAAAATAGATGACGTGTAAGATCGGTGCTTGCCATAGAGTTGGTTAATAACTCTATGGTGCTTGCATTTACAAACCATCAACAGTAAAATACATTACCTATTCCGGTTTTGTTTTCTTTGTTCAGCGTCAGCCTTGTTGTCTGCTACTTTTCAGTTTCACCGGTGATTGATTGATCATCATACCATAGCGCAAGCTTTTTGGTAGTGGGGGTTTTTATTGCTTAGGTAATATTAAGAACGTACACTTGAGTAGGTATGTATTTTGTCATAAATTTTCGTAACTTAAATTCTCTAATAAAATCGTAAATTCCGGACATCATAAAGTATACTTAAATGAAGCTAATCATAATCATGTCCTATAAAATCCAAATACCTATCCACAGTTTTAAACGGAATTTTGTCAATTTTGTAATTCGGTGCTAAGTACTTGTCAGGCACGGATTTTTATTAAATCCACCAGTTGCACTTATCAGTTGCATTCATACCCACGATTTCGAATCGTCCAATTAAGTTCCAATCTAAGTTTACGTACCTACTTCCCAATTTTAAAACAAAAAGACACATCATGTGTAGGTATTTTATATAATAAAATATTTTATTTAAATTCCTATCTAACGTTACGTCTTCCTCGCTCTTAATGTCGAGCAGGGAGACGGACGTTTTATGGGGTATTTTATTTATTTATCTTATTCGATTATTTGTCTTAAATCTATTTATTTTAAAAGAGCATGGATAAGATTTGAGGCATGAATTAAATTCGAATAATTGTAAATGAATATTTTCCAAATTCTTCTTTTTCAAAATTCTATCACTACTTATCTTTTAATTTCTAACAAAGTAAAAATATTTTAGATTGATGTTAGATGCATTTGTTTTTTTTATTAATTCAAAATTTCATCTACAACTTGCCTGCTCACAAAATTCATTATCATCAACCATATTTTGTAATATTATAATGGCAGGACTTACTGATGATTGTCATCTCCTTCCAGCTCCACCATCGGCGCCCGTAGCTGCTCCTTTGTACAGCAGCCCCCCCGGCTACCCTGGAGCGGGTGGTGCTGGACAGTGGATCGACATGACCGGAGGACAGGTGCCGCCTGGTGCCGTCGTCGGAGGACAGGACTGCTCAGGGGAACCCCTGTACGTCGCCAGAGCTTCCCACGAGGGCGCCGTCATCCCTGGAAAACTGGTGCAGTCACATGGCGCCGCTTACGTGCCTTGGGGAGGATTGGAGCATGGCAAACCTCAATACCAGGTTTGTAAACGTTATAAAAGTTAACGTATGCTTGTGCACTTGAATTTTTTTTAGAAATAAGGTAATTTCTGAAGTAATAACTAGAACTCAGGTTGATGTAGGTAGGTACTTATACGATCCCAATTTGGCATTTCAAATAATGCTGCTTGTTTCACAGGTTCTAGTCGGCGGTCCTAATAACTGGGTGCCCACAAACGGTTCCAACATCCCCCCTGGCGCTTTCCCCGGCGGGCAGACCGAGGATGGGGAGACCCTCTTCATTGGCCGCGTCCGCCACGAGGGCAGCGTCACCACCGGCAAGGTCCAGCAGTCGCACGGCGTCTGCTACATCTCCTTCGCAGGCCAAGAACTCGGCTTCCCCGACTATGAAATCCTACTCTCTTAAAGAACGAAAATAACGAGTACACTCTAGTTTTGTAGCCCACTCTTTGATTAATTGGTAGATAAACATAAGTCAAAGAAACTACATCTGCTTCTACAGCGAGTTCAAGTGCCTCTCGAATTATTGATTTAAGTAAAAATATTACTTGTAATCGCGCTGTGCTTACATGCATAATATTTAGATGCACAGTAAAAGTTGATTTTAAGATTTATATTAATAGCATTTACGTGTTATTTTATTATTATTAAATTATTTTATTAAAAACACGATGTTGTTGTTTTATTTATATGTTCCCTATGTAAACTCGTTTGTAAACGGTAAGGTGTCCTCAGGAAAAAGTATAAGTACCTACTTGACATGATACTAGCGGCCGCCCGCGACTTCGTACGCGTGGCCAAACTTTCGCCTTTAAAATATTAGTAGGATACCGGTACGGTAGGAAGTGAGTGGGGTATGGGTACCGACTACCGTACCTATATACCCCACTCACTTCCTCGGGTCAAACTTGACTATCACTGGTTGGGTTTTTATTCTTGGCTACACAGGAGTTGCAGCGGTGGGAACGAGAGGTGGGAATAGTCCCGTAACTAAGTACTGTAACTAACTCCCCCTTGTTTAAAGTCTGCTAGCGAGACCGATAAAGCCCGACTACGCAAGACATTAGTGCAGTGCGCAGTGTCTACAACTTACACCCGTATTCACAAACATTACTATGAGGTCTCACAGTGCGCGTGGACGCAGAACCTATTAATAGGCAATTCTTGAGTGAGTGCGAACCAATCACAGAGCTCTATTCAACGCTATGCGTTCGACTTCGCATAGCGACGTAGCGTTGCTGCTTCACATAAGCAAGTATCGTGTGTAAACTACCAACCAATACAACGTGTTGATGGCCTCCCTCAAGTCCTCAACTCTCATTGTCATTCATTACAAATCACCTGTATAATATATTTTTCCTTAGATGTGCCTTGGGCCTTGGATTCTACTAAATTAAAAAGAAAAATGTCAGAGCTATTCTGTCAAGCAGTGTGACAGACCGATCGATCCAGTGTTACCAACTTAGGGGTTTTCCCCCCAGATTTAGAGGGTAAATAAGTAAGATGGGACTTTTTTGGGGGTCTAAAATTTTATTATTATTTTTAATTATTATCATTATTATTATTTTTTTAAGATTAATATACAAATGGCTCTTGTGTAAACCAATGTAGCCAACAGAGATATTAATATTTATTTCTTGACCTACCGACTTATAACGACATCCAATTGGTTCGTAATTCTACAGCCACTCTGGTGGTGACTGGCGGCAATACTGGCGCCACTGGCGGTTATTTTATAGCCTGTGCAATACTGTGCATATGGCGGCGTATATTAGTATGTTTTTACATTAGCTTATTTATGTCAGATGATACCGCCAAAAAAATAGCTCATTACATACAGTAGACGCTTTTCGCTCTATAAAGTTACGTTTTTAAAAGTTACCTTCCCCTTAAATTAGTTCCCCACTCTAACTGGCTATTAGCTACAAATCTCTTAATCACGCCTCAGAATGTCCGTTTTTAAAAGTTACGCTACCCCCGAAAGCGTAACTTTATAAAGCTGTAAATATTTTTTAGGGGGAAAACTCAATATTTAAAGCAATTTTAGGGGTTTTTGACACAACTTTAGGGATAAATATTTTTGAGAATTGGTAACACTGGATCGATCACAGATGCAGATGTCAAAACGAACAAAATAAAATAATTCGACAGACCGCCTCATAAAAATTAAGAAACGCGGATGGTTAAACATTAATTAGTTGATATTAAATTAAACTTACGGGTTTTAGAACCAGCTTTCTGTGTTTAATAGCATTGTAGTTATTACGATGGGTGATCCAATCGGTAAGTTAAATTTGTGAAGTTACCCAGTTCATTAAAATTCATAAATTTTCGTAATTTAGAACCTACAAGTAACAAAAAAGGTGTTGCGCAAATTGCATTTATCTTGCACAACAAAAATTACTAAGAAAATATGCTAATGACTCACTACTACACAGATAACCATAATTAATATCTTTTACAGAACTAACAACATGGCCCAGCCATAAAAATGTATTTTATAGGATGTCAGCTGGCGCAATATTATTCGATGTGAAGGCTGCTGGAAGCGCTGCCATAGGTTTGGCCAAAAAACCAGGAGATTTGGTTGATGTTTGGGTAAGTAAAAAAATACAGTAGACAAACACACTGGCTTGTTATGCACCAACAGAATTGTTACCATTAATGACCTTAATTATATTCAGGTTGTAATAGGCCATTTTCGTACATGGATTAAAAAGGAAGAGGGAGGTAGTAAATCTGTTATTACCCCTAACATTCTGAGTAACGGTGAATACAGAAGATTTTGGCTCTCTTGGAGAAATGGCTGCATACAACTTGGCCAAAATGATGACAGTATTCCAATCATAACCCATGTTCACCATCTAGATTTGAGTTATGTTACATTCGCATCTGGAGAAAGAGGGATGGCAGATAGAACACCAGTCTACTGGCGATTTGAACGTAAGAAACCACTGATTCATTCATTCATCTAGCAAAAAAATCTTCCCAATAATGATAAAAATTATTGCTTGATGCCTTCTCACTTCAACTTTCATTTTTATTTTCTTCATAACTTACAGTGCCACCTGTTCTGGAAAAGCCAAGAATGAAGTCAGTCACTGGTGGAGGTCTAGTGTGGGTGCATGCTGATAACCAATTACCAGATGGAGCACTTATCGGAGGATATGAAAAGGAGATGCTTTACATAATTAGAGCAGCACACCGAGGTTCTTTGACACCAGGGAAGTTTGTCCCTTCACAAGGCACAGGATACATTTCATGGGGTGGGGAATCACATGGCAAAAATATATTTGAGGTGGGTTTTCCAAGCCAATAATTTTGATTATTTAATAGTCATATTTTCTAATTTCATGTTTTATGTATTTTTGAATGGAAAATTATGAAGCATCCGAAACTACAATTTCTAGTAAGTCAAATGTTAAAATGGCATAAAATCATTACAGGTCTTGTGTGGATTTGACTGCACTTGGGTACCATCTTTTGAAGATAGGATTCCAGTGGGAGCTGTTGAAGGTGGTTGTTCCGAAGGCCCTGACAGAGAAACGCTATATGTTGGAAGGGCCCTATACAGTGGTCAAATCATTCCAGGGAAGGTTCAACCTTCTCACAAATGCTGCTATATCGCATATGGAGACCGAGAGGTAGCTCAGAAAAAGTTCGAAATATTAGTGTCTGCAGATATCAATGCAAGATGTGCCAATAGGTTATTTATTGATCATATAGATGTTGAAAGTCCATCAGGATCTGAACATAGTAGTGATGATGAATATTTAGCTAATTATCGATAATCTTACATAAGGTTTTATGTTAAAAGAACCTCATTTCTTTCAAATATACCCTGCATTCTTTATTACCTACTTAAAATTGAATAAATAGTCATCACATCCTAGTCGGAAACTAAGAAGAGATTGTGGTTGAAACCATATCTTGTGCATATTATTATTTATTTTTCTACTTATCTAATTTCGCGCAGCGAGAGTTGAAGCGATCAACTCAAGCAAAGATTCGTAGTCTTTCTGAGGGCTTAGTGTGTTTATTAAATCAAATGTTGTCACTAGTGAGCGCGTAAAAAAATTACATTAAATGTATGACGGACTGCACAGCGCCCCTAACAGAAACTTTCAAGAACTAAAATTTTCATAATATTTTTTTAACGCGCTCACTAGTGAGGACATATGATGTAAACTTACACTTACAGCTAGTTCCGACTTGTCGGTTGTCGGAGCCATATATTAATCGGAGGTTCCAGTGGCAGAACATTATGTATGAAGCTTTAACGTTCACACAACGTTGAAAAAAGAAAAAACGTTAAATGGTGTCGGGGTCTCGCTCGCCTATGATTATGAATGGCGCTGTTCACATTTGTCGGATGTCGGGGGCGAATAACCCTCTCCTGCCACCCCAAATCTTGTGTTTTGGTAGTTTAATACTCACTGATATTTGAGCCAATAGATGGTTGAAATTTTGAATTCGTAATTGAAAAAACTTAATTTCGTCACTTCTCAATTCTGTTATTAAGTTTCGAAATGTTCCTAATCTTTCCCTCAAGATTGGTTGCACCCAATATTTTCTATCATTGGCTGTATTTCGTCTTCTTCTCAAATAATAATACATCACAACTAGAGCTTCGTCGACGTCCATTGTGTACAGTCGCCGCCTCTCACTATCCAAATCTGTGACGCCTCCCGTAGACCGTAGTGAAAATCGGGCCAATAATCGATTTAAGTGTGAACAGAGGCGACGACACCGACAAACGATTAAAATCCGGCCCCGACGACACCCGATAAGTGGGAACGAGCTCTTAGCCCTCTGAAAAGTGTTTTCTGTCTCGCTTTCTCGCCAATCCAAATATTACATTAGTATGAGTATGTGTTCGCCTCAACTTTCGCTGCGCGACCTGAAATATTTTTCTAACTTTTTAGGACTAGACAGAGGTGAAACTTGATCATAAACCCCCTTACTAATAAAAAGTTCACAGTTGTTGAACACTGTTTTAAAATGACATTTCCATACTAAACGTCACTTTAAAACACTGATCAACGAGTGTGTAATTTTTATTAGTAAGGGGGAAAGAATTTGCTTTAGAGCACCAGATACTGCAATAATATTAAGATATGTTTATGTGATGATAATGTGTATGTTTTCCTTAAATATTTAATTTGAAATGATAAATATATCCATTTTATGTAAGTTACGTAATTAATAAAAAATAAACATTCATGTATTAAAATATTTGTTTAATTTAATTGTAGATTTAGTATAACTATTTGCACTGATTGTCATATAATTTAAACACAGAAGAAAATAACACAGACTAAAATAAAATTATAAATTATCTTCATTATCTTCATCATAAATAGTATGACGCTTACCATCTACCAGCACTAATATCTCATACGAATGCACTTCAATCTCTCTGCCCTTATAAGGAAGGTAGCATAACTTATACAATGCATGTACTTTTCCAGTCAACAGGTTTCCGTCGTACATTGCCCGTCCAATGTATAGAGGTTCATTTAGCACTTCAGAATAACCGGCAACAAATGCATTTTGTGGAATATCATTACCTTTAGTTTTCACCCACTCAACCCCAAAGCCGCATAGAATCTATAAAAAACATGTTAAAATAGTAAAATATGTATAATACTGAAGCTATACTATAATAAATAATAGCAATAACAAAAGTTGATACCTGAAAATCTCGCTGTCTCCGATGCTCTCGACCACCCCAAGGTAATAAAGCAATATGTTTGGACAGAAGGTATCTGCCTGGACACAGAGACCGATTGAGGTTTGTTCTAATAATGTAGGAAGGTTCATTTTCAAATCCACCAATTATAGCATCTAGAGGTAATTTTTGAATATACATGTCCTGCCAATACACATTTCCCTCGAAACCTTTTCGTAGAGGCAGTGGTGAAATGTTTAGGGCCGGAGGTGCTGAAATCATTTGATAATGTTAGGCAAGAAATTAATTTCATAGCTCATTATGTTGAAATATGAAACTTAAAGGTACAAACCTTCAATTAGCCATGCTATATTTGAAAATCTAGTATTTGGAGTGTTAAATTTGATGTAGCCAACTTCATATGCAAAATTATCGTTATCTTCATAAAATAATTCTAGTAATAATGGTAAATGCTCTCTGGCAAAACCAAAGCGGACTTTATGATGAAAACATGAAATCCAGAATTCTGTAAAATCTACATTATTGATAATATTATCATGAAAATGAACTTTTGCTTGTTCGTTGCTACGCAGATTCCTTATTTGGCATACTGGTCCAGCAATAGTTATCTAAAAATCACAAATGCACAAAAATATTATTTCAATTTTAAATGTATTATTATGTAAGATACCAGATGGAAAATTGAATAATGACTGAGCCATCTCTGGTTTGATTTTATTAAAAATCCAACTGTGCCCTTATATTATGTCCTGTTATAGCAATAATATTTTTTCACCTGGAATAGTTCCTTTGAGGGTACTTCCCTTGCTGTGAGCCAAATATTTGCCTCCTGTCCCTTTAACTTAAATCTCATAGCCCCACTGCTAATTCGAAATAGTTCGTGGAACGGGTGGGAATATTTCTCTAGCACTGAAAATTTTCAAGTCATTAGTTAGGTACTTTATAATAACTTACCACATTTATTTTATACAACACTAGCTTTTGCCCACGGCGAAATATAGTCTGTCGCAGATCGTAATAAATTATAGCCTATATGTTATTCTGGGTTATAAACAATAATACTGTAAAGTTTCATCAAAATCCGTTCAGTACTTTTTGCGTGAAAGAATAACAAACATCCAGACATCCAAACTTTCGCATTTATAATATTAGTAAGATAAACTTTAAACAACATATTTAAAGTTTATTACAACATAATTAAATTTATAAAAAAATCAACTTACACACTTCATCAGCCATTGTGTTAGTTTCTTATTTAGCGGTGTAGGTCTCTCTATACAGCGATAAATTCAATTTGAATGAGTCCTAAATGAGTCAGGGTTTTTATTTGTCTAATCTGTCTGATATCACGACAGAAAGTAGGTAAATTATGTGCAACTTATATACCACTGAGCATAAAAACCACAATAAAAACACTGTTAGTGACTAAAGCTAAATCTAAAATAAAACTTTTTAGGATATTATTTATTTAGTATAAATGGAAGGGACGAATTATTGTAATTTATTCTAGCTCCAAAAAAGAAACATGAGCCGAAAACAAACAAACCAACCAAACCAAAAGTCCAAACTGTCAGTCAAGTCAACTGTCAAAAACATTTTTTTTTTGGTTCAATTATTTTAAAGGCAAAGGCATTACGTGATACAGCCAATATTTAAATTTTTATTTTTCTTAGTTTTATTGACACCATTATTGAGCGTGATTGAGCTCACTATTGTAATGATTAGAAATTAATAACCCCCTTCCCCTTGATTGCAGTAACAACTGATGTTGCACTGATTTGTTTCATTTGCCTAGATACACCCATGCACGCTCACGAATACTGGTTAATATTCCATCACTTTTATTTCCTTTTACACATGAATACTTAAGATAAGTTTTAACTACGTAAGGGCCAAGTTTAGGTTTCCCCTCCCTGAAACTTCCGGTAGGTATTCAGATCTCCTGCACCTCATACCTGCACCATCCCAACTTGCAAAACCCCTATTTAGTTTTGCGCCATCCAAGTATCCAGCCACAGCTTAATAATACCACAAGCTTTTTTGAAAGATTTGGGCTTCTAATTTTGTTTCCAATTAGTTAAACTATTTCAGAAAATACAGTTAATCAGTGGTTAAGTGGCATAGAGGTAGAGGAATATATGTAGTTAAGCAATATACGATTGAGTATTGATTAGGTAATTCTCTAAGCTAAGTAAGTGGTAATAAAATAATAACACCACGTCTGTGGGACAGTCTATCCCTAAAAAAAACACGTCGCCTGTCTCAGACCCAGACCAGTCTAGTCTAGGCATAGAGTCTAGAGACCCGATTACGGTAACTTTTAACGTCAACAATCCAGACACGCTTCTCGATTCTGCGATACGATTGGTCAAAACAGCTGACGTACGCTGTTGAACGACCAATCGTATCGCAGAATAGAGAAGCGTGTCTGGATTGTTGACGTTAAAAGTTACCGTAATCGGGACCTAGGTCACGGATTAGATGATGATGATTTTTTGGATACTGGCCATTTATTATTATTGGTGGATTCTGTAGAAAAAAAAACCAGTAATCTTCTGTCATTCTTTAAAAATGCAAGCACAACGAAATAGCTGTCTAAATATTTGTTGAAAATCATTATTTTTTCAAGGACTGTTACAATTTAAGCGCAACAGTTCAATATGGCGCAGTCAGAAGCACCATCTGGTACCGCTTCGGAGTTCGCAGCGAGCGAAATGCCGGTATCTGAACTAGGCGAAGGTGAGAACCTCCATTGCGATAGAATAGAGAATACTTAGTTCTATTACCTACACATAATTACGTACTTGTAGAAACTAAGTTAGTACATACCTACTTACCTACCTACCTACTGTTTGGTCTGATTCAGATCGAGAATCAATTAGTTGGAGATAAGTTTAGCAGCTTAAACTAATAAAGAATGAATTAAATACTTTTACGTTTTTAGAGAATGATTATCTCATTTCACTTCCACCTACTGCCTGTTTCCGCAGCCTCGCCTACTCCGGGAGGAGGAGGGACGTTTCCTCCGTACCCGCCGTATGCCACGGAGCCGGCGCCGGCGTCCGTAGCCGACACCATCATCGCCGGCCGAGACATCCGGCTGCAGCACAAGTCCCTGCCGCGGCAGGCTGTACACCCACCCCCGAAGCCTGCGAGGCCTAAGTACGATGCGATGATCTTTAAGATGGTTTATTCCACATTGATCACCCAGATGATCAAAGTGGACTCCAAGCGACAGTAGGTGTCCTTTGATCGCCCATGAATAAGATGACCTGGGTGATCAAAGTGGAATAGATTGGCCCCAAATCATTAAATGATTGGAGTAGGTAGGCAATTCAAGTTTAATGTTTATTAATTTTCCTTCGCAAAAGATGAGTTACTTACGATAATCTACTATAATCTCGTAAATACATATTAAAATAAGTATGTACCTACTAAGCTGCACCTAGGTTCGGCGGTACTAAGATGCTAGCCAGACAAAACCAGGGACCTTCAGTCAGAAGCTCTTCGGGAGAACTTTTTATCAGTTGACCTTTGAATCTTTGATTTCTACTACAACCAATCGCATTATCTGCCTTCTACTTAGGTAGGTAAGTACATGTATAAGACGCATCCTCTATGATTAGCTGTAGCATTAAGTCCTTTACTCCCAGAGGTCCGAAGGCGACAGACGTGAAGCTGACGCGGCGGTCGATGCGTGCACACGCGCGCTGCCTGCGCCGCCACGGGGCAGTGCTGACGGACCGGCTGGAGCGCATGGCGAAGCCGCCGCGACGCAACATCATCTGCCTGTGGAGGGAGCACGCTCATCAGCTGCCACCTGAGACGGTAAGTCTGTAGTGATTTTGACTTGGCGGCTGCTACAGCATACACAGCAGGGATGTTATGGATATATCCGTAACCGTAACCGAAACTTTCGGATATCCGAAATAAAAAAATATCCGTAACCGTAACCGAAACCGGTATAATATTATTCCTATACCTGTAACCGTATCCATAACCGAAACTACATATTATTATCCATAACATCCATAATACGCAGCAATGAAGTACACACACCAGTAGCTTGTTTTAGTCGCAAATTCTACTGGCTTTTTAAAGCTCTTTAGATCTCGTGGTAATGTTACTACTTTCTACTGAAGTTCATTTTTCATTTTACTTGACGTTTTTCTAGGCATGTATGTTGCTGTAACTGCTTTGGATCTTTGATTCTGTACGTGTTTTTTACACGTATTTCTTAATCGCAGATTGCTCGGTTGCGTTCTATGCTGGATGCTGATGAGCCATTTAAACCAGACCAGGCTTACGAATATTTCGTCAACCTGCGGAAAACTAAGAAGAAAACGACCACTACGTAAGTTATCCATTGAGGCATTTAAGTGAATGATATAAATATAGGTTCTTCACTTTAATATAGGGTATGGGGACAGCCAAACCTTTCTGGTTCCTAGTTGTGCTTTCAGAGAAGTCTTTCCCGAAAACTATAATCCGGGCCTCTTCAAGGCGAGAGTGAATAAGCACTTACAGGGCAGATATGTACCATCCTAAACTGCATCCCACTTAACATCAGGTGCGATTGTGGTCAAATACCTGCCTTGTTATGCATAAAAAAAAAGTATCTACCAGTACCAGTTTATAGATGATGATGATAGCAACAGAAACAGAAAAAGCCGCCGCGCCGCAACATCATCTGTCTATGGAGGGAGCACGCTCATCAGCTGCCGCCTGAGACGGTTAGGCGATTATCACACTGTACCACGCTCCGCCGCGGTCCGCGTGGCTACATAAAAAGAATCCCGCGCGCAGACGCGTTGTCAGTGTGTTGTGCCGCTCGTTCTTTATATACAAACTGAGGTACTTGTATACAATGATTAAATCTGTCGTTCCGCGTACCGCGGCGGAGCGCGGTGCTGTGTGATAATCGCCTTAGTATGTAGTGATTTTGACTTGGCGGCTGCTACAGCATACGCAGCAATGAAGTACCTACACACACCATTGCAGTAGCTTGTTTTAGTCGCAGAATCTACTGGCTTTAAAGATCTCGTGATAATGGTTCTACTGATGTTCATTTTTCATTTTACTTGACGTTTTTCTAGACCCTACACACGGCCACACTGTTAACTATCCATTTCCGTTTTTGCTCTCGCTCTAATCAAATGGTGATTCTTTGTGATAGAACGAGATGTCATGACTGGCAATAGGCAGTTAACACTGTTGCTGATAGTACATGTTACTGTAACTTTGGAATTTTGATTCTGTAGGTGTTTTTCACACGTTTTCTTAATCGCAGATTGCTCGGTTGCGTTCTATGCTGGATGCTGATGAGCCATTTAAACCAGACCAGGCTTACGAATATTTCGTTAACCTGCGGAAAACTAAGAAGAAAACGACCACTACGTAAGTAATCCAATGAGGCATTTAAGTAAGTGAATGATAAATATATAGGTTCTTCACTTTAATATTAACTCAAAATTAATGTTTAGGGTTTGGGGACAGCCAGGCCCTTCTGGTTCCTAGTTATGGGTCAATTTCCCAAGCACATTTTTTGAGCGGCGTAGCTGAAAATCATATGTTTTTTATGACATAGAACTTTGATTTTTTTTTACACNAACAGAAACATTATTTACTTATCTCGACAGTGCCAAAGTGAACCAAATAAAGAAGGACGTGCTGGCGATTTGTGCCGACAAGCGGTTCGTATGGGCGCGAAACGCGACAGTCGCCTTCGCGAGGGGCATCCAGCAGCGACTGTCAAGACCCGGACGATATGCTTTAGCTGACAGGTTATTGAAATTTATTATTGTTTTTGAAATGGAAACCTTATAAGTACAAATAGTTACCTATTTTACCAGATTATGACCTTAACTGTTACTGGCTTTCTATTTCCTTAGGATGTTGCGGTTATCCAACATAGTTTTAGAAGAGATATGCGGTTACATGCACATGAGAGCTCCTTCGCGAAGGTGTGGCCATCCAAAGGCCAAGTTCATGATGGAGATGGCGGACAAGGTAATTTTCATGACGTCATAAGATGTCAAATTGAGTGTTTCTTTGAACGCTATACATTTTTCATATTGTTGTGGACAGGTAGCGGTATGGATTGACGAAGTCCTTGCTGAATCAGACGATCGCATGCTGATGATGGACTATGACGAAGATGAAGGTAAAATTTCATAATTTGTTTATGTGATTTAAGACAATCAATTCAAGAGGAACAATTGTCATCATTTTAATATGCAAGTTACCATACAGGATTTGTACAGTCTCCAACACAAGGTAAGAGATGCTTTGAAATTGTGGCAATTGTTCTTTTTTGATTTGGTTTGGCTCTGCTCTTGAATCTTTTGATATTTTCATCTGAGAAAACTGGGTTTCGCAAAATTTTTTATGTATGAACAATTGTCGACAACTTCAAATGCGTCAACACAGCCCACTTTTCTCGGATTCGCTCAACAACATCTTAAAGCGAGGTATGTTTTGTTGCTGAAGAAGTGGAACAGAGCGCCGCCGAAGCGGACAGACCAGTGGCTCCTAGTGGCTCGCAGACGAACGCGGCGGCCACCCCTGCCGAGAGCATGACCCCAGCGGACTCGGCCACGGCCACGCCTGGGGCCACCACGGCCTCCGCCACCCCTGATGCACAGACCCCCGCCCAGACGCCAGGACAAACCCCAGCACCCACTCCCGGCCAAACTCCGGCTTCGTCTAAGACCAATTTAGCACCCAAGTAACAAAGTGAGTATACATCACTGAAGATAATCGCTATCATTGCCATATTTAATTTATGAAACTTTTACAGGGTGGACCACTTGTGGAACCGCAAACGATTTCGATGAATTTCCGGTTCTCTCTTTTTTTCTCTTACTCATCCCCGCCAGGATCTCCGCTAGGAGGAGACCTAAATCGTAATTATATGTAATAATATGTTTGTATACCTAACGTAACTTCATCATTATATTTTTCTTTCCAGATGTTATAGGAGCGGATGAAGCCGGTGACACCGGCTTTGCAGACGACTTTCTGAATATGATGGGAGGTGTAAGTATTTATATATTACTGATTTAATTATGCAACTCTATTTACTTAAATTGCATTTTTCTAATGTGTTTATTAATTTAATAGGTCGTCAGCCTCAAGAATAGTGTCTGCAAGATAAATAAGTTTAGTGATAATGACAGTCGTAGTTTAGAAACAGTCCTTGAAATTGTACAACCAAAACCAGAACCCACAGCACCCACTTGACACAATGTCAATTTGTAGTTTGAGAATATCATAGTGAACCGATTATATCAGGATATCTTTGTTTGTAACTCTGAAAAAATGTAAAATGAAAAAATATAGCAAAATTATAAAATTGCTGAAACGTGTGTTTTCCTAAACTAATTTCCCACGACCCCAGTCTTCGTCATTCTAATACAAGTGAACACAGAAGGTAACTAATTGATTTTAATTTTAAATTATTTCGTAAATCTTTCTTCATTTTCCAAACTTATGTTCAATGTTTTATTTACATGTTCTTGTGTTCATTTGTGTTGGAGAATGAAGACTGGTTTGTCTTAATGATACTAAAATACCATTGGAGTTATTAAATATAGTATTTTTTTATTTCAGGGTGGTCTTCTAAAGGGACGTAAGTATCTCTACACGAAAAGCACATATTCATTACAAAGAAAAGTTTTAAAATAATTTCGTTTTTTATTTCAGCGCAACCAGCATACTTAAAGTTTTCAGGTAAGAACGAAATGTTTTTAATATTTATTTTATTAATAAAATGTAACTATTTTAGTAATCGACGAAATACAATAAACTAATTTTAAAATACAGGTCCAATGCTGGAAGCATTTCTTATCCTAACTGATTCAATGAGCAATAAGGGAGACGAACAACTTTTGACACATGGAAAATTTTCACAAACTTACAAAGAGGGTGCTGATGAGTAAGGGTTTCTTTACCTCTAATTTAGATTATTAGATATGCTCACAAGACAAGAAAACAAGCAAGCATTGGTTACGAAAAAAGAACTCTGTTCTCTGAGATTAACTTTAATCCTTAGGTTCTTACATTCCAATATTTCAGACTGAAACAAACTCCCGATTTTGAAGCGACAGAGTTTAACACGACTCTGTCCAATCAACTCAATAAAGACCTTACCGCCACCGCCAAGCCTAACACTCCGGGGAATCTAGCAGCTTGCATGAAAGGTAGTTCTTGAAATATTTCATGTTGATAGATAGAGATAGAAAGGATTCACAAGACAGGTAATCTTATCGTCAGAAAAATATTTCTTTCTTACGTGCCTTACAATAATATTTACGATGCATTTTTTTGTTCCAGAGATCGTTGAAATTTGCGGGAACTACCTGGCACAGAACGCTGAATTCAATAGTTAGCATATTATTTTAATAATAATTGACAGTAGATACAAATATCATTGATCTATATTTAATTTACTACGCTTCTTATAGAGGACAAAGGTCCGGCATTCAAGCTACTTGTTAAAACAATGAAGACAAGACCAAACGATCAACTCTACCAGAAAGAAAAGGCTAAGAGAACATTCGGAAAAGCAGCGAAAGAGTAAAAAAGCTTATTTCATCTTTTTCATGTTGTATTTCGTGGTGATTAAACTCCCGGTTCTGCTTTTAGACTTGATGAGGCCCGTGGGCTGGAGAGCGATCATGATGATCCCAATTTATCACAGGAAATTCATTCAACTTTGTCAAAGCTGGTAGACCCTGTGACTCCAGGAGATCTGAAGACGGATATGAAAGGTACCTAACGCAATTCCACCCCTTAACACGATCGAAAAAAATAATATTATAAAATATTCTGTCATTTGTTTTAGAAACTCTGGATATTTGCTCCAAGTACTTGTCTCAGTGTGCCATTGACGAAAGTAAGTAACGACCTATTTATACCAAGTTATAAATTATGTAACTTATCTATATTAATTATACGTAATGTATCTCTGCAGTTGAACGTGGGCCTGCTTTCGACTTGCTAATAAAGGAACTGCAAAAGGATGGATCTGGAAACTTCACACCACAGTTTGATCCTTTGAATTGCAAGTTTGCTGCGGCATATGTGTTAGTTAAACTTTAACAAACTTTTTGGTGGTTCTAATCATAGCTTTTATTATCAGTTCATTAACATTATTCTCATGGTATTTGTCTTCCTAGATTGAAATCTGCCCCTGGTTTGTCTTCAAGTGTACCTAACCCAGAAACTGTACCAATATTCACTGAGGCTCTACATAGAGCAGTGGATCCAGCTACCCCCGCGAAGCTCAGGAATGACATGAATGGTAAGTAATAACATATAATTAAGAAAAAGTAGTCGGAATAAGTTTACATTTTCTTATTTATTTTACAGAGGTTATTGGAAGGTGCAGTAACTACCTTTCAGCATTCATTCGTGACCGAGGTTAGAAATTATAGTCATTTCATTTAGTTAGTTGATATCTTTACCAACATATTTTCTGATTTGACTAAAGTTTTTGCTTATTTTTAACTAGGGAAAGCTTTGGAATTATTGCTGAAAACCATGAAAGGCAAAGGTAAAACAGAACTTGCGAAAAGAAACAATTATGGAATGGATTACATGACTGGAGCAATTGAGTAAGATTTTACCTAAATAACTGTTCCTAAAACTAGCAAGTGACGTTATTGTGACACGAATAACTGAATATCTCTCTATTCCTATCACAGAACCGAAACGGCTCCTATGTTGGTACCATTTCTACCAATTAAAGATATTGCTGACGAAGCAAAAGGAAAGCTGACTGAAGATATGGAAACTCCTACTCCTCCTAACCTGAAGATTGCTATGAAAAGTACGATCGTTTTCTGATAAAATTTCTTTCTGAACATATTTTCTCGTCCTGAAAAAAAGTCTAATATCTATAAAATTGTGTGATTGCAGGCTTGGTGCAGGATGTGGCGAGACATTTATCTCAAGCAATTGCTTTACGCAGTAGGTTTTATTTCCAATAATCACAAATTGAAAGATTATACGATTCAATTTTATTAATTCATAAACCCCATCAAATTACAGGCGGAGTCGCGGGAGAAAGATACCCTTTAAATTTTCTAGCAGCTGTTAAAAATTCATTGGGATCACGATCTCTATTCAAATACAAAACATTTGGACAAACATACAAGGATGCAGCTGAAGAGTGAGTGGGATTATTATGTGATACTTAAATGATTACATTACAATGTGAGTATGATGATTAAGTATTTAATTATAATTATCTGTTCTATTAGACTTAAATATTCCGGCCCCCTAGAATACGACCCAAAGTGTGAAGAATTACAGCATGAAATATCATCAGAGATGGTTCGAGGAGTGCCCACTAAGTTACCACCAAGCATTTCAGACGGATTAAGACGTGAGATGAAAAAACTTTCATGTTTTTTTTGCATTGTAAACAATTTATTTAATTTTTACCTGAAAATATTTTGCAGCTACGATGAGTGAGGCCTCCAAACATTTAGCAAAAGTTGGAACCGAGAAAGGCGAGTAAAATAATATAAACCAATGATAACAAAGCTATAGTACAATGACAAAATATTCTTAAACTTGTCGCTGGTTTCTTTGTAGGTGAAGCCCTAGATTATGTTGTAAAGCTTATGAAAGAAGAGGGAGAAACACCGCTCGGTCAACTACAAGGATATATGCAGAGTTATAACGACGGAGCTCGAAGGTTAGAATATACAATTCCAAGTTACAAGATGACAAAAGGAAGACATTAGAATTACTTCGTTTTTCTGTAACTACAAGTAATAATTTTACAGGATAGAAAATGCACCGAGTCTTGCCAGCGAGAAAGTTGATAAAGGAGCTTACGAGTCAGTAAGAGGAAAACTGACGAGTTTAACCGAGAAAAAGCCTGCACCAGAACATGCGAAGTATTTACCAGGTATCATTTTGATCACTTTCGTGTTTCTTTTAAGAATATTGTGTGATAATAGATATCATATATTTCATAAATAATTATAGGAATACTGGACGACTCTTCAAAGTTTTTGGCAGCTCCGTTCCCAGAAAGTAAGTACAAGAACCAGTATTTTAGGAGAAGTTCTTAGTTTCGTAATAAAGTTAAAACCTGCATCTGATACACAGGTGAATCTGAGAAACGTCGAGTCTTGGCCGATTTGATGGCGCGCAAGGAAGACAATATTGTTGGCCAAGATGGTCTGTACAAGCTCACATTCAAGGAGGGTGGTGAAGAGTAAGTATCACTCTAATACTACTGATAATAGCAGTAGGTACACACATTCTGAGACTACTAAGCCATACATTGCAGAATAATGAATGCTCCAGTGGGGATTACGTCTGCTTACGATGAGTCTAAAAAGACCGAAATGCTTGGTAAAATCAACACGGTTATACCAGATAAGAAATTGGCAGATGCATTAAAAGGTGATTATGTAAAACCATCGAATGAAAATGGACAGATAACTAATTAAAAAGACAATGATAACATTTTTACCTAATACCATTTCACAGATCCATCTCGTGAAGGAGCTGCTTATTTGACAGACATAATCAAAGGAAGAGGTTTGTAGCGAAATAAACTGGAAAACCAATCAATCCTTGAAAGAATGAAACTAAGAAATATTATTTTACAGGTGAAGCAATGCAAGTCATTCACGACAGTATGCAAAAAGAAAAATCAAAGGACTTCCTATCACTTGGCAAGTTTCAGAAAAATCATGAGCAAGCAGCGCAAATGTAAGGAAATAATTACCTAATCACACATTTAAAAAAAAAGCAAATTTTAACAGTCATGATTACGTAAAAGTACATTAAAAAAAATTCTAGGTTGGAAACAGCAGATCACTTCGGTGGCCAACATCCTAATCCTGTGATCTTAGATAGAGTAAACCAGCGCATTAATTCTCTACCAACAGTCGTTTCGGCAGACATGACTAAAGGACACATGCATGGTATGCTGACACTAATCTACTGCCTACTTAGACTGCCTATGTAACATTTGCTGTAGTATTTTTGCTGAAAAGATAACCCATATGCGATAATGCAAATCTAACTTTTCTTTATTATAAACGAGCGAAAATATGTTTCAGATACCACTGATATCACGGCTGCGTATATTGCTGGTGTGGCCACGAAAGAATGTAAGTCCAAATAACTATGGAGGACAATATGTATTGGACCAAAATATCGATTGTATTAATGTAAATTATATTTTCAGGTGGCTTGAGTGCAAAGGAACTTGCAGCGTTAGATGAGTCAGGGTGAGTACGCACTGGTCAATAGACCAGAGGGTAAAGAAAGAACAGGGGGGGGGGGGGAGGGGGAAGGTACTACTCTCCTGAAGCCAGACGTCGCTTACTCCGACGACTTATAGAGCCACAGCCTGTGGCGGAACCGCGAAAGAATGTCTAGGCCGTTTAGCCCGGACAGTAACTCACTGTTCTGTCTTAAAAACTTCGGAGGACACCGTCAGGTTATAGACAGGGCCTGCCCATCTGGGTCGACGAAAAGATGTTGCTCAATATATGACGATTTGAACTGATTTTCCACAGGCAACAAAAAGTGCCGTCTCCAAAAGCGGCATCCCCACAAGCAGCGGTATCCCCGCAAGCAGCACCGTCACCGCCCCCGGCGAGCCAGGCTGGGGACAACGCGGACGACGAGGCGCGCAGGAGGGCCGAGGAGGAGGAGGCCGAGCGCAGGCGCCGCGAAGCCGAGGAGAGACGCAAGAGGGAGTTAGAGGAAGAAGAGAGGAGAAGGAAAGCTGCTGAATTGCGTACGCGTTCATCATTTTATCGGATCTCTACTTAGTTACTTTAGGCGCTTGTCCACGCTAAGAAAGTCGCCGGGACTACGCAAGAATTCGTGTCGTTTCTACACACGAACTGTGTACAATGCTCCGGCGCTGACCAAGAAATAATTATTGTCTGTGCTAGATACGGACACGATGGTCCGACGAAATTCTTGTCTTGTTAGCGGCAGACACGGCGAAATTTCTTAGCGTGTACAAGGGGCCTTACCGTTTACGTTTGAAGTTGTAATAACGAGAAAATATATTTTAGGTGCGTCAGCGCGAGCAAGAGGTGCTGATGGTAAGAATGTTTTTTAAATGCAAACGTAATACGTATAATACGTATTTTACAGTTACTAATGTAAAGTGACCGTTTATGCAAAACAGAAGTGGATCCAGACCGTGAAGCAGCAATGGGAATTTTGCATAGTCAGCTCAAAGCGAAAGGTGGCGAAACCTTCTACAAGCAACCCCACACGGAACTTTCCCATGCACAGGCATCAGAGTGGTGACGTATTCAATCAACGCATATCTTATTAAAAACTGAGTACCATTAACCACAGTATAAACTCAATAGTGTCAGTACGTGAAAATGATAGTGTTTTTATATTGGAATTAGGTCCTACGATTATAAATTATCAGACTTAATTCCTAACATCATCAGGCTGACGCAGCCGCCGATGAAAGTTGATAAGACGGTGAAGGAGTCTGCGGACACCGGCCGCCTCCACAAGAAGTTCGAGAGGAAACTCAGCACGCTGGTCAACAAAAGCACTCCACCCACAATGGTCGATTCAATGCAAGGTATTTTTTTTTAACAAAATGATAATGATTTTTAATGATTCTACTTTGATACTTCGTCTGTCACTAATGTTCTCATCAGCTTCAGATAGAAGTGAGAGAAAGAAGATAAGAGCGAAAAATATCTGATCGACATTTATAAAACAACTAGCTGACCCGGCGAACTTTGTTCCGCCTTAATGGCAATAAATAAGCAGACTTTTTTTTTAATTTCGAACGGGATAATAAGTATCCTATGTCCTTCTCCTGGCTCTAAACTACCTCCCTGACAATTTTCAGCTAAATCGGTTCAGCCGTTCTTGAGTTATAAGTGGAGTAACTAACACGACTTTCTTTTATACATATACAGGGTGTTTCTTGTAAGGTGTCAAGCCGAAGGCAGGTGATAGGTGAGGACTAGACCTATCGATTTCACCCCCATGTATGTTCTACGATTTTTCATAGTTTAGAAGTTATCGTTAATTTTGTGATTTTTTCAAATTTTATGACCCAGTAGGCTTTAAATTTTTTTATCTTTTTTTTGGGTCGACTTTTCTCAGATTTCTTTTTTTTGACAGATTCCCTATTAATTGCAGATTTTTGAAAAAAATAATCAACTTCCTATCTTTGATNAAATAGTTTTATAAAAGGTCAACTAAGTTGGTTAGGTATTTGTATTGAAGATACTTATACAAATGAACGTATAAAATGAGTTTATTTTTAAAAGTATAGGTACAGGGTGGAAACGATAAGTGATTTCACTTGATTTTTAATTATACAAGATATCGAGAAACTGTTTACTGTTCCTGTAAGTGCTTCATGAGCTCTTTAAAACAATAACAATAAATAGGTCAAAGAATAAACTGGATCTATGCGAAAATTAAATGTTTCCGAATTTCATACTAAATGTATGCCGCCAGCCATACCTACCATATTAGAAGTGTTAATTTTTTAAATTTTAATTTTTAATTGAGTAATATAAATTAATTAAAATTTCGGAAAATCCAAATGCTGGCTCTTTCCTTGCACAAAGGCTTAGTATTGCCATTCAGCGAGGAAATGCAGCCAGCATTCTCGCCTCTTTGCCTCACGGACACACTTTTATTTTTGAGTAATATAAGTTTATATTTTTATTTTGTTTAGAGTTAAGTTTGCCTTAGTTTTACACTTGCGAGCAAAAGTATGGAATCACTTACATGAAGTTGTTTCCACGCGATCTTGTGTACTAACCAATTTGTTAGTAACAAAAAAAGTAGCACCATTTTAAAGATTAAACTTTTAACTTTAAATTGATACCAAATTCATTTAAATCACACCAGTATTTAAAAAGATATTCCGGCTGATGTGAAGAAGTAAGGAAAAAGACATGTATCAACTGTTTGATACGTCGCGAGTTGCGGCCTATTTAGCGGCCCGCTGGCTGAGCCCTTCTTGCAACAGTGCAACGATTTGTGCTGCTTCTGTAGGTGTAGAATCCCAGGTAAAGTGTCAAAAGAAGCCGAGATGAGTATGGATCAACGTGTGAACACAAAAATCCGAAAACACGTGCTTTTATAGGGGGTAAATAGGCCGCAACTCGCGACGTATCAAACAGTTGGTACATGTCTTTTTTCTTACTTCTTCACATCAGCCGGGATATCTTTTTAAATACCGGTGTGATTTAAATGAATTTGGTATCAATTTAAAGTAAAAAGTTTAATCTTTAAAATGGTGCCACTTTTTTTGTTGCTAACAAATTCGTTAGTACCTACACAAGATCGCGTGGAAACAACTTCATGTAAGTGATTCCATAGTTTTGCTCGCGAGTGTAGTTACTATTCAAGTAGCCATAAGATAAAAATAATACAGAATACATAGGACTGTGATACCTTTTTAGAATCTTAATTAACCAAGGAAGTTTTTAAGGTAATGGGCACGATCGTCTTCCTAAATTTTTTTTACACGATGGCTGATCAAAAGTGCAAGACAATGAATTAATTTTTCCTTCTTCTCTGCAATTTCTTAAAATTTTCATACTTGTAAACTAGTTTGTTGAACTTTAATATTTTCTTTTGATAGCCCAACTATCCTTTGTGATAAGGAAAAAAACTAGATTGAAAAGTAACCTTATTTGTAGAAATGGCATGAGAAAAATGAATCGAAGGTAGCAATTTTCTAAAAATGCACAAAAACTTAAAAATCTTGAAAACGGTGATATTTTTACTGGGGTCAAAATTGGACGTTAGGGAGACCATGGCGAGGCCTATCGATGGTTACAGGGTTATCCATTGTTTTTGGGACACTAATTGAAAGATCTTAAGATTCAAGTTTAATTAATTCATGAACCCATCAAATTACAGGCGGGGTCGCGGGAGAAAGATACCCATTAAATTTTCTAGCAGCTGTTAAAAATTCATTGGGATCACGATCTCTATTCAAATACAAAACATTTGGACAAACATACAAGGATGCAGCTGAAGAGTGAGTGGGATTATTATGTGATAAATGATTAGGTACATGTGATTATGATGATTAAGTGTTTAAATTATAATTATCTGTTCTTTAGACTTAAATATTCCGGCCCTCTAGAATACGATCCAAAGTGTGAAGAATTACAGCATGAAATATCATCAGAGATGGTTCGAGGAGTGCCCACTAAGTTACCACCAAGCATTTCAGACGGATTAAGACGTGAGATGAAAAATCTTTCATGATATGTTTGCAATGTAACTAGGTATTTATTTAATTTTAACCTGAAAATACCTATTTTGCAGCGACGATGAGTGAGGCCTCCAAACATTTAGCAAAAGTTGGAACCGAGAAAGGTGAGTAAACCAATAGATTACGTAGTTAAAATACAATATCATGAAATATTCTCAAACTTGGCGCTGGTTTCGTTTAGGTGAGGCCTTAGATTATGTTGTAAAGCTTATGAAAGAAGAGGGAGAAACACCGCTCGGTCAACTACAAGGATATATACAGAGTTATAACGACGGAGCTCGGAGGTTAGAAAATACAATTCCACAAGATGACAAAAGGAAGATATTGGATTATTTCTTTTTTGTGTAACTACAAGTAATAATTTTACAGGATAGAAAATGCACCTAGTCTTGCCAGCGAGAAAGTTGATAAAGGAGCTTACGAGTCCGTAAGAGGGAAACTGACGAGTTTGACCGAGAAAAAGCCTGCACCAGAACATGCGAAGCATTTACCAGGTATCATTTTGATCACTTTCGTGTTTCTTTTAAGAAGATTGTGTGATAATAGATATCATATATTTCATAAATAATTATAGGAATACTGGACGACTCTTCAAAGTTTTTGGCAGCTCCGTTCCCAGAAAGTAAGTACAAGAACCAGTATTTTAGGAGAAGTTCTTAGTTTCGTAATAAAGTTAAAACCTGCATCTGATACACAGGTGAATCTGAGAAACGTCGAGTCTTGGCCGATTTGATGGCGCGCAAGGAAGACAATATTGTTGGCCAAGATGGTCTGTACAAGCTCACATTCAAGGAGGGTGGTGAAGAGTAAGTATCACTCTAATACTACTGATAATAGCAGTAGGTACACACATTCTGAGACTACTAATGCCATACATTGCAGAATAATGAATGCTCCAGTGGGGATTACGTCTGCTTACGATGAGTCTAAAAAGACCGAAATGCTTGGTAAAATCAACACGGTTATACCAGATAAGAAATTAGCAGATGCATTAAAAGGTGATTATGTAAAACCATCGAATGAAAATGGAGAGATAACTAATTAAAAAGACAATGATAACATTTTTACCTAATACCATTTTACAGATCCATCTCGTGAAGGAGCTGCTTATTTGACAGACATAATCAAAGGAAGAGGTTTGTAGCGAAATAAACTGGAAAACCAATCAATCCTTGAAAGAATGAAACTAAGAAATATTATTTTACAGGTGAAGCAATGCAAGTCATTCACGACAGTATGCTAAAAGAAAAATCAAAGGACTTCCTATCACTTGGCAAGTTTCAGAAAAATCATGAGCAAGCAGCGCAAATGTAAGGAAATAATTACCTAATCACACATTTAAAAAAAAAGCAAATTTTAACAGTCATGATTACGTAAAAGTACATTAAAAAAAATTCTAGGTTGGAAACAGCAGATCACTTCGGTGGCCAACATCCTAATCCTGTGATCTTAGATAGAGTAAACCAGCGCATTAATTCTCTACCAACAGTCGTTTCGGCAGACATGACTAAAGGACACATGCATGGTATGCTGACACTAATCTACTGCCTACTTAGACTGCCTATGTAACATTTGCTGTAGTATTTTTGCTGAAAAGATAACCCATATGCGATAATGCAAATCTAACTTTTCTTTATTATAAACGAGCGAAAATATGTTTCAGATACCACTGATATCACGGCTGCGTATATTGCTGGCGTGGCCACGAAAGAATGTAAGTCCAAATAACTATGGAGGACAATATGTATTGGACCAAAATATCGATTGTATTAATGTAAATTATATTTTCAGGTGGCTTAAGTGCAAAGGAACTTGCAGCATTAGATGAGTCAGGGTGAGTACGCACTGGTCAATAGACCAGAGGGTAAAGAAAGAACAGGGGGGGGGGGGAATTGAATGATCAAACGAACTTACCAAGTGAAGTTCGATCTAAATTATCCTGTTTTCGCCGAAGAGATTTAAGGTCCCTCCCAACCCGAAGATTTCTATATCTTCTTCCCTGGAGGTAAACGTCAATGTCATCTCTTCTCTAAATATAATGAGACCGCTCGGACACCGAGCCCACAGCGTGGTAGGGGTGGGGTTGCCCGCTCTTTTGTTTTTTAATACTACTACGCTGAATATTGTGTGCGGATTGGGTTGTCGTACAGGGGTACTACTACATGGTAACTTAAATCTCTTCGGCGAAAACAGGATAATTTAGATCGAACTTCACTTGGTAAGTTCGTTTGATCATTCAATTTTAGGTGCATCAGCGCGAGCAAGAGGTGCTGATGGTAAGAATATTTTTTAAATGCGATAAAAATATACAATATAAAGTTAAGTATTTTACAGTTACTAATGTAAAGTAACCGTTTATGCAAAACAGAAGTGGATCCAGACCGTGAAGCAGCAATGGGAATTTTGCATAGTCAGCTCAAAGCGAAAGGTGGCGAAACCTTCTACAAGCAACCCCACACGGAACTTTCCCATGCACAGGCATCAGAGTGGTGACGTATTCAATCAATGCAAATCTTATTAAAAACTACCATTAACCACAGTATAAACTCAATAGTTGCAGTACATGAAAATGATAGTGTTTTTATATTGGAATTAGGTACGATTATAAATCATCAGACTTAATTCCTAACATCATCAGGCTGACGCAGCCGCCGATGAAAGTTGATAAGACGGTGAAGGAGTCTGCGGACACCGGCCGCCTCCACAAGAAGTTCGAGAGGAAACTCAGCACGCTGGTCAACAAAAGCACTCCACCCACAATGGTCGATTCAATGCAAGGTATTTAACAAAATGATAATGATTTTTAATGATTCTACTTTGATACTTCGTCTGTCACTAATGTTCTCATCAGCTTCAGATAGAAGTGAGAGAAAGAAGATAAGAGCCAAAAATATCTGATCGACGTTTATAAAACAATGTCGTCGTTTCTATTTCACAGATGTCGTCATTGAGTCTTCTCGTGTGCTATCGGAATTATTCGTCGCGAGCAGTAAGTAACTTTAGTATCAGTCTAGCCACAATATAACCTTTTTGCAACGTCACTTAATAATTACTTGATTATAGATTACAAGGCTTTAGTGCGTGAGGCCCTAATATCTGAAATGCAGAAGCGAGGAAATGAAATACTAATCGAATTGGACGGAGCTGCTGAAACATTCTTCTTTGCGGCACAAAGGTATAAAAAAAGACAAAAAACAATATTAACAAAAATAATAAAATATGTAAATGGATATTAATTTTACATGTTCATTAGATTGAAGAAAGCCAAGTCCCTCGAAGTAAAAGAACCGTGCACTAATGTCGCCTACTATCTGACAAAGAAACTGGACGATATGATACGATGTCGATCCATGGCCCGTAAATTAACATCCACAATGAAAGGTTTGCACCACAATTTGTTTTTTATTTAATCGTGTTCAATAAACCAGTACTTTAACGTTAACGACAAAACCTACACAATTTTTCATGTGTTGCATAAAATATTTTACAGAGCACATCAAAGTTGCTGCTGACTACTTATCGGAATTAGTGACTAAACCAGGTAATTTAAGTAACTCTTTAAGCATCATGAATTTACTAAATTTAATTAAAATAATCGTTTAACAACCATTTAAAAATCTACAGATGAACAAATTGAAGCTTATGTAGCATTATTGGGAGAAATGGAAGCAGCTGGCGACTCCCTTTTAATTGAGGGAGACATTCCAAAGTCCTACAAAGATGCAGCAGCTTAGTAAGAGATTTTTTTCTCTACTTAAAGCAGGTAGGTAATACAAGCTGGAAATGACTTTAACGTTTCTTTCAGCCTACGTCAGCTCACGTCAGCTACAGATCAAATAAATCGCCCGAATAGCTCTCTACAATCCCAGGCTGAGAGCAAGTTGAAAGGGATTATGGCCAATGTGACGGCTACTGGCTACACTCAAACTGTGATGAGCGGTAAGCGTGAAGAAGTAAAACTAACTTGATTCATAAGAAATGATGTTTTACTATAAGTACTTTATGTATAACTTTTCAGGAGTCATAACGGATTCTACGAGATTGCTGGTATCATACATCATGTTGCAAGGTATTTTATCAATACGTCTTTTTTGAAGAAATCTTATAACATCAAGCCATCGCCAAATAATCATTTGGCTGTATCGTTTACAGGTGAAAAGACCGAAGCCTTGAAGATTATGATTGAGCAAATGGATCAAGCCGCAGATAATGTACTGCTGCGACATGGTACTATTCGCAAAACGTACACCGACGGAGCTGACATGTAAATATTTTCACTATTTTATTTATACGCTGAAAATAGTGAGTTAAAATATTTAACTCTAGGTTACGTGGCAAGAACACCGACCAACTTCGAGTGTCGAACGTCGATCCCGTCGTGACCCGAAAAATACAAATCAAACTTCATAACTTGATGAACGGATGCACACCAGACAAGTACAAAGCATTAATTGATGGTACATATCCATTGCTTATGTAAAGTATATATTTCGATTTCTAGTCTTCATGAATTTTCTAAAACCATCTATCTGTTTTCAGATGTCATCGAAGATACTACCATGTATCTAGCTGTTCACTTCTTGCGACCACGTAAGAAAATAAAATTATTATTATATTAATGACTAGACATAATTCGCAGTTCATTATAATAAATCCATTATTTTGCAGAAATCATCCAAGTATGCAAGTGCATGAAGAATGTATTTGTACAATGCGAACTCTGGTGCGACGAGATACTGCGGCGGGTCGCGAAGCCCTGCTGTACGTGCTCTCGCCACGTGTCGGCACAGGCGCTGCAGGACCTAGCTCCGGCCCAGCGTCTGCAGATCAGCCCTGGGTCCTCAAAAGCGTTCGCGCCGGGCATCGAGATATCACTATCGACTTGCCCTTCAAAAATGAGCAGAACTTATAGACGAGGCGAAAAGCCTCCACCTTGTCCTGCCCAAAAACCCACACCTGGCTGTGAAAACGCTACCACAACATCCTACCTTCTCTACTCAACTGTGTACAATCAGCGGCCGTACGATGACATATCCTCAAAATATTCTCCTGAAGCTGAATCGCTCCGCGTGGAAACTCCTACTCCGCCACCTGCTGGAGCCGAAAAGTATTCACCGTTGCATTCTATGTTCTTTAAAACGGACCCTTTAGACATGCCATCATCTTCACGTCAAATGGACATGAATCAGCAACCGGAACATGAGAAACAAGAATCGGAGGAATCGTCACCTGAGACTTACTATACTCCGCCTACGACTGACTCTCATCCTTCTCGTGATTCGAGGAGAGACAGCTCAAGTCCTTTCTGGCAGTCGCCGACGACTATGTATGCAAGAATTCATACACACGAACACCCGTCCTTGCAGAAAGCGGCACCTTTTGAATTTTCTAGAAGATCAACAACGAGAGCTAAAACTGGATTCAATTCACGTAATATTTTTCAGATTAAATTACAATGTTATGTAATTTTGTGGATATTGTATTAATATAGCGTAATGTCTAGGTACACCAATTGTATCAACTGATCAAATGGCTGACTGGCATGCGATGATGGTGAGCCTGATGTGGAACGTGCAAGCCTGGCGAGACTGGATACAGGACTACATCAATCGTGCCCTTACATACAAATATGAACCTAGAGTTTCTCCGTGTAAGTACTCCCACCTCTAACCATAGTGACACTGCTAGAGGAAATCCAAAAGCTTTTATACGAATGAGACTTATTTTTCAGCTGAAGCTGAAGAAAAATGGACGGTATTGCAAAGAAGAATAGCTACAGAGGCTTTACAGTGGCGCCAGTATAATAATTTCAGCCGTCAGCTCACTCTACGCCTGGCTCTACGATATAGAGATAAACAAGTAAACTTTCTTTAAAATCTTGAGCTGTCTCTACCATCAAACACAATCGATGCTATATGAAAAATTATTAAAATTTTACATTTTCCTAGATTGTGTCACCAACACGCGCTACTGTAAAGACTGAAATGTACATGGACTGTCAGAGAGAGATGCTAGACATCATCGACATGTTTTACAGGTGGACGCACTGGCTGAGCGCAGTTGTAAGTAGCAGAAATGTAGCAATATAATCTACTGTTTCTTATTGCTGATACCGATCCTAATAATCGAATGCCTTTTCTGAACAGGTGAAAGAGACGGACTCATTAAAACAAGTGCCTGAATCTGACGTACCTTTACATGAATTGTATGTATTAGAAGTAATATAACACTGAAGTTTTATGCGTTATATCAAAAACTGATGTCTTATTTCATTCATTACTAGGCGTTGGAGTCATTTTAGGAAGAAAATTGAAGAATATTCCGATGATTGGATCAAATATAATGTCCACTTGAAAATTTGCTGGGAGCACAAATATAAAAGCCTTATTAATGGTAAGTAAGGCACGTCTAACACTAATGTCTGGTGGCCAAATGAAGGACGATCTTTTGTTTTTTCCAAAATCTGAAGAAGCTCCTGCGATTTTACTGGGATTACTTAGTTTGACTTATGCTCGTTTTCACCATCAATCCTTAATTTTAAGTGACCCCTATGGAAACAAAATTCCTGTAATATATTACCATAGGGGTCACTTAAAAATTAGGGATTGATGGTGAAAACGGGCATCAAAGTCCTATTTCCCCTAGATGGGACAGAGAGCGCCCACAACAGTACTCCATCGCGTTCGGCCTTGAGCTTTGGGTTTGATCTCGCTCCAAGTCTTGCCGATTTTCTTCGCATCATTTGCGCCGCCTAGTTTGTTCGGAGTAATGAATGAATAAACTTGTTTTTCTAGAATGGCTGCCATCGTGGGAGCAGCCGGGACCGGTTTGGGTCGTGAGCGCGTGCGGGGCCGTGCCCAGTGGGGCGGTGGCGGCTGGCGTTTTCGACGGGGAGGTCACGTGGGTCGCGAGGACTACGCACAAGTAAGAGACCCCACCACTAGCTTCTTCGAAATTATCGAAATTAGCGGCTGCCGGACGCTACACAACACTGGCGAAACGACAACGTTCGAATAGTGTGGTGAAGGTCTGAGATTCGCTGCACAGCGTATGTAATAAGCTCCCACTTTGCAACGGAGAAAAGTCGATACTATATTCTTCAGATTAAATTCTTTGCAAGTTTCAAAACAATAATATTTTATTATACATTTTTAGATGCAATGTGCTACCTGCCGCTCTGCACCCATCTAAGCACTGCTGTCTTGTCTACGCCGACGGAGCCGTCCATCACTACACCAAGTATCAAGTAAGAATTTATAGCTAAACCACCAGTCACTAACTCTCAATTAATAAAAATAGGCCAGATTAAAATGCTGACTACACACATTTATAAGTAAAAAATAGGCCATATTAAAATGCTGGCTACACACATTTATAAGCAAAAAATAGGCCAGATTAAAATGCTGGCTACACACATTTATAAGCAAAAAATAGGCCAGATTAAAATGCTGGCTACACACATTTATAAGCAAAAAATAGGCCAGATTAAAATGCTGGCTACACACATTTATTTATAAGCAAAAAAAAAAAGAGGAGTTGGCTGTAAGGATGTCTGTTACTACGTCACGCAAAAAACTTCCGGACGAATTTTGATGACCGACTATTCAAGGCGGCAGAACATGCATCCCTATATTTTTACACCCTGTATAAATATTATTGACATACCTGTCATCCCCAGGTGATGTGCAACGCTGAAGTATCGTGGGTAGCGTGGCGCGCGGGCGCAGTGGGCGCGCGTGCAGTGCGCGTGGCGAGCGGCGTGCACGTGGGCCGCGTGCACTACCGCGGCTCGCACCTGCTCGGCGCCGTGCACGCGCCGTCCTTCCGCTGCCACGTCGTCATCTTCGGAAGACCCTTCGCCTTCAACTGCTACGAACTCCTGGTCTTGACTGGGGGGAATGGTGAAAAATAGTGATCTGAATTCGCGGACGCGTTTGAAATTCGTTGTTGAGATTTTGAGGTCACACCCTCAAAGGGGACGTAAATTTTAACTGATTTATAACAAAGCACATACGGTGTGAACGCAGCGCTGCGCCTACGCAGTATGAAAGTTACGGTTTGGAAATTCGCTGAGTGACGCGACGTGTGTTCTCAAATCCATGTCGCGCCGTGCCGTGGCCGCTGCGTTGTACCTAGTCTTTATGATTATTCCATCTGAATATCATAGTCGCGAAATAAATGAAAACACTTGAACAAATATTCGAGCGGTTATAAAAAAGTGGACCGCTCTTTTGGGAATGACTGACAAGTTTACAAAACATTGCAGCTACTATCGTATAATTATGTCCATTATATCCAGATCGGTGAAAACGTTGGTTTGTAAATGACGTAATTTTGTTGTGTTTTGTACTTTGTGATTTTTGATCGTTTTGTTTTACACTAATACACGTTTATTAGGAATATTACGTTTTATTTCAAACTACTTTCCACTATCACCGTCCCAATCCGTGAATAAGTTATTACAGGTTATCCATGGTTGAAGTTAGTAGGTAATTAGTTTTTAGGTACTTTTGATTCAAAAGTACCTAAAAACTAATTACCTACTAAAATCTAATTTTACTTCAAAAGTTTTGAAGTAAAATTAGATTTTAGGTTTTAGATATTGACACGCATTTTAATATCTTATCAAAAACTTTATTTACCCGTTCCTAAAAATCACTAAAATAAACTTTTTTGCATAGTATTAACAATTAAATAAATTAAAGTTCTTTCTGCGGCACAAATATCACAGATTGTTAACTCTCTGCGTGCGCTGACATTTCCACGAGTACTTTTTCGATGACGCCCTTGGAGCCGACCAGCCGCACCATGTCCCCAGTGTGGAACATGTCAGTGGCGTGGGTGGCGCCCACTATACAAGGTAGCCCGTACTCGCGGGCTATTACGGCTCCTGGAATTAATTACATTGAAATTATTGCAGAACGAAAATTTTCTGATGGCGAAAGCAAAATCAATGAGACTGAAAGAAAGTCCTATGTTAATAATATGGAGGGAAAAATTATGACTGTACTCCCTACTCCCGTATTTACTCTCACCAGTTGGCACGACTATTGCGTCACAGTGACTCGACAGTGGCGTCAACTGGTGGGACAATAGCGATAGTTCTCGGGACTATTGTTCACATCATCTAGCTAAGATTTTAGTGTGAACACTCTTTCTATCCAACTCCAACTAACCGTGTGAAATGAGGCCTCCAAGTTCCGTGACGATGCCGCTAAGCAGCGGGAAGTACGGCGACCAACCGATGTCAGTGGCGTACGTGATCAAAATATCTCCTTGCTGCAGTTGGTTGATCTGTAAACATTTTTAAAATGAAAATCAAATTGTCGATTTAAATTAAATCTAGTCCTAGTTGGGTAATTATAGACCCTTTTGNTCCACCCATACAAATATGAGCCAGTCGTTGTAATATGACGTCACGCGCATAAAATGGCGTGCCGGCCGCCGCCCGCACTTTTAAAATTCAATATCTTGGAAACTAATTAACGTATCGAAATAATTCTTTCACGTGTATTTTTTATTTTTAACAGAGAATACAGAAAGCTAAAAAACAAAATTAGTGAACATTCTTCATTCCTGTAATAGGAGTCACTTAAAAATTAGGGATTGATGGTGAAAACGGGCATTAAGGTCCTATGTCCCCTAGATGGGACAGAGAGCGCCCATAACAGTACTCCATCGCATTCGACCCTGAGCTTCGCGTTTGATCTCGCTCCAAGTCTTGCCGATTTTCTTCGCATCATCTGCTACAGCGCGCTGCCAAGCTGGTTTGGGGCGACTTACGTTTGGGATTAGTAATGTAAAACTTGTTTTTCTAGAATGGCTGCCATCGTGGGAGCAACCGGGACCGGTTTGGGTCGTGAGCGCGTGCGGGGCCGTACCCAGTGGGGCGGTGGCGGCTGGCGTTTTCGACGGGGAGGTCACATGGGTCGCGAGGACTACGCACAAGTAAGGGACCCTACCACTAGCTTCTTTCGAAATTATCGAAATTAGCGGCTGCCGGACGCTACACAAGCGCCGGCGAAACGACAACGTTATAGTGTGGTGAAGGCATAAGAGACTCGCTCCCGCTTTGCAACGGAGAAAAGTCGATACTATAAGACCTATATTCTTAACCTTCAGTGGTTGGGAAGACCAAACTGTGGATCCTGATTATACATAAGTTGCAGTGGTGTGAAAGAAAGTTCTATTTAGAGCGTAGTGTCCGTTCAATTTATATGCAACTACACTAATCACCTATTTTATTATACATTTTTAGATGCAACGTGCTACCTGCCGCTCTACACCCATCTAAGCACTGCTGTCTTGTCTACGCCGACGGAGCCGTCCATCACTACACCAAGTATCAAGTAAGAATTTATAGCTAAACCACCAGTCACTAACTCTCAATTAATAAAAATAGGCCAGATTAAAATGCTGGCTATAGTTCCAGAATACTGGACTGTCCTGTCGATGACATTGACAGTGGGGCGCCACCGTCAATACCGGATCGCTGGTTCAGATTTTTGCCATGTTGGAAACCATATAGTTGAACGATGGTAGCGCCCCCCTGTCATTGAGTTTGGTGGGACAGTTCAGCGTGGGTCATCTATACACACATTTATAAGCAAAAAATAAGCCAGATTAAAATGCTGGCTACACACATTTATTTATAAGCAAAAAAAAATGAGGAGTTGGCTGTAAGGATGTCTGTTACTACGTCACGCAAAAAACTTCCGGACGAATTTTGATGACCGACTATTCAAGGCGGCAGAACATGCATCCCTATATTTTTACACCCTGTATAAATATCCTGTATAAATATACCTGTCATCCATAGGTGATGTGCAACGCCGAAGTATCGTGGGTAGCCTGGCGCGCGGGCGCGGTGGGCGCGCGTGCAGTGCGCGTGGCGAGCGGCGTGCACGTGGGCCGCGTGCACTACCGCGGCTCGCACCTGCTCGGCGCCGTGCACGCGCCGTCCTTCCGCTGCCACGTCGTCATCTTCGGCAGACCCTTCGCCTTCAACTGCTACGAACTCCTGGTCTTGACTGGGGGGGATGGTGAAAAATAGTGATCTGAATTCGCGGACGCGTTTGAAATTCGTTGTTGAGATTTTGAGGTCACACCCTCAAAGGGGACGTAAATTTTAACTGATTTATAACAAAGCACACGGTGTAAACGCGGCGCTGCGCATACGCAGCATGATAGTTAGGGTTTGGCAATTCGCTGAGTGACGCGACGTGTGTTGTCAAATCCATGTCGCGCCCTGCCATGGCCGCTGCGTTGTACCTAGTCTTTATGATTTTTCTATCTGAATATCATAGTCGCGAAATAAATGAAAACATTTGAATAAATATTCGAGCGGTTATAAAAAAGTGGACCGCTCTTTTGGGAATGACTGACAAGTTTACAAAAAATGAAGTTTACAAAGAATTCAGCTACTATCGTAATATTATGTCCATTAAATCCAGATCGGTGAAAACGTTGGTTTGTAAATGACGTAATTTTGTTGTGTTTTGTACTTTGTGATTTTTGATCATTTTGTTTTACACTAATACACGTTTATTAGGAATATTACGTTTTATTTCAAACTACTTTCCACTATCACCATCCCATTTCTCGCATAGTTATTACAGGTTATCAATAGATGAAGTTAGTAATTACTTTTTAGGTACTTTTGAAGTAAAATTACATTTGAGGCTTTAGATACTGACACGCATTTTAATATCTTGTCAAAAACTTTATTTACCCGTTCCTAAAAATCACTAAAATAAACTCTTTTGCACAGCATTAACAATTAAATAAATAAAAGTTCTTTCTGCGGCACAAATATCACAGATTGTTAACTCTCTGCGTGCGCTGACGTTTCCACGAGTACTTTTTCGATGACGCCCTTGGAGCCGACCAGCCGCACCATGTCCCCAGTGTGGAACATGTCAGTGGCGTGGGTGGCGCCCACTATACAAGGTAGCCCGTACTCGCGGGCTATTACGGCTCCTGGAATTAATTACATTGAAATTATTGCAGAACGAAATTTTTCTGATGGCGAAAGCAAAATCAATAAGACTGAAAGAAAGTCCTATGTTAATAATATGGAGGGAAAAATTATGACTGTACTCCCGTATTTACTCTCACCAGTTGGCACAACTATTGCGTCACAGTGACTCGACAGTGGCGTCAACTGGTGGGACAATAGCGATAGTTCTCGGGACTATTGTTCACATCATCTAGCTAAGATTTTAGTGTGAACACTCTTTCTATCCAACTCCAACTAACCGTGTGAAATGAGGCCTCCAAGTTCCGTGACGATGCCGCTAAGCAGCGGGAAGTACGGCGACCAACCGATGTCAGTGGCGTACGTGATCAATATATCTCCTTGCTGCAGTTGGTTGATCTGTAAACATTTTTAAAATGAAAATCAAATTGTCGATTAAAATTAAATCTAGTCCTAGTTGGGTAATGAAGAATGTTCACTAATTTTGATTTTTAGCTTTCTGTATTCTCTGTTAAAAATAAAAAATACACTTGAAAGAATTATTTCGATACGTCAATTAGTTTCCAAGATATTGAATTTTAAAAGTGCGGGCGGCGGCCTGCCCGCCATTTTATGCGCGTGACGTCATATTACAATGACTGGCTCATATTTGTATGGGTGGAATCTTGCAAGCTGAATTAAGACCCACTTCCAGGCAACCGATTAAGCTGAAATTTCGTAAACACATGTGATTTGGATGACCATTCAATATTATGATGACATGGAGCTGATCTGATGATGGAGCTGGAAGGTGACCATAGGAACTCTATAATAAAACGACTTAAATGCATCGAGTTTGGGCTCGTTCGTTTTGTATTGATGAGTATTTTAATTCTATACAGTAATCGGGGTCTAATGATGGAGCTGGAAGGTAATTCGCAATAAAACGACACAATCGCATCAAGTTTGGGTTTGGTTCAATTTTAATTTCTGTGATGGGTCTGGATGTTAATATGTACTAATAAGTTTGTATTTACAAAAAAATATATTTAAGTATGTTTATATCCGTTTTCTAGTGAGCGGACGCTGTGAATGTACGTCACGCGGGGTCACGTGACCGTCGGCGGGACTCAATATTTAAGCGAACTTTGAATGCCTATAAAATCATAACTACTGGGTATTTTTGAATGAAATAAAAACTAATGTATTTGTAAATGTAAAAGCTTAACTGTAACATAGGTTTCGAGTGATTTTGCATACCTAGTAACATTCTCAATTATAGACCTATAGCAATTTGGTTAACCCTTCTTAAGTGGGAAGTCAACCATAAGGCTGACAGCGCGATACTTCTGCATAAGGCCAGCCTTCAATATGAATACTCGAGCGGTCTGTGTAAGTTGGTTGCTAACCAAATGCTCGAGCTACTAGAGTCTGCTGATCCTTGGCAACTATATCCTACGTCTAATAACTGGTGCACTCGCCCCTATTATCCCTTGATAACTCCTACTTTAATATACCTCGGAAAGGTCCTTGACGACGCAGGCCCGTGCCACGACGTCGCCGCCGCAGACGGCGGTGGCCTCCAGCCTAACTCCGCCAGTCGTAAGCGTCGGCACGTGCGCCGGCAGCGGCTGGATCCAGCCTGTGTTCAACTCCGCGAACTTCAGCTTGCACCAGCTGTTGTAGTACTGGTGCCGCTGGATGGCTCTGTGGAACGAAGAAGTTATTGTTGCTTCTGGTTCTCAACATGATCGGAATTCTAAAATAAACTACACTTTATTAAGGTCAAACCACAGCATGCTTGATGTGATGTAAATAATTAAAAATAAACATATGACGACACGTGTGTAATAAACCTTTACACAATGACAGAATCACCACCCGAACGTACACGTGCACTTAAGTTCTTTAGTTCCTAAAACACGTCGCAAAACATGCGCACGCGCATGTCTGCGTTGACAGCTGCTGCTGAAGTTTAAACATTTTTACTCCAAAACTATCTTCCGTTTCATATCTGAAAGTCATAAATTCCAGCCTTACTTCCTCAACAAGGCCGGGTCTCTCGTGCTGATGTAGTCGGCCAGCTCAGCGGCGCGGAAGAAGAACACCAGGTCCTGCTGCGGCAGGTACCAGCGCCGCGTCAGCAGCGCGCCCAGCCGGATCGCGGCTAGTCGCAGCTTGTGCACGCCGAGGATGACGTGCGCTCCTGCTGTACCAGTGACAAGAGTCTACAAGTCTTACTTCCTCAACAAGGCCGGGTCTCTCGTGCTGATGTAGTCGGCCAGCTCAGCGGCGCGGAAGAAGAACACCAGGTCCTGCTGCGGCAGGTACCAGCGCCGCGTCAGCAGCGCGCCCAGCCGGATCGCGGCTAGTCGCAGCTTGTGCACGCCGAGGATGACGTGCGCTCCTGCTGTACCAGTGACAAGAGTCTACAAGTCTTACTTCCTCAACAAGGCCGGGTCTCTCGTGCTGATGTAGTCGGCCAGCTCAGCGGCGCGGAAGAAGAACACCAGGTCCTGCTGCGGCAGGTACCAGCGCCGCGTCAGCAGCGCGCCCAGCCGGATCGCGGCTAGTCGCAGCTTGTGCACGCCGAGGATGACGTGCGCTCCTGCTGTACCAGTGACAAGAGTCTACAAGTCTTACTTCCTCAACAAGGCCGGGTCTCTCGTGCTGATGTAGTCGGCCAGCTCAGCGGCGCGGAAGAAGAACACCAGGTCCTGCTGCGGCAGGTACCAGCGCCGCGTCAGCAGCGCGCCCAGCCGGATCGCGGCTAGTCGCAGCTTGTGCACGCCGAGGATCACGTGCGCTTTCGTGCTCTCGCGGTGACGGACCGTGCGACGGCATAATGGTAGAACCCAAGCGAGAACTTTCCTGATGACAAAAATGCCAATTATACATTTTTCTTTTGTCAGTGACATTGTAGACTATAGAAACCCGAAACAAATTCCTTCCCTCAAAATACTTTTTTTTTTATCCACAACGAGGAAGCCTCCTTATTTATTCCCTCTTATTATACGATTTGGTACTTTTCCAATTATCATATTAATTACGTTACCTATACTATTGTGAATATTATAGGAAAATTGTTCAAAATATAAAACATGCTCACCTTGTACTGGACTTTTTGGGCGTGGTAAGCGCTGCAATTATCTCTGCATCAGTCTTGGTGCTCTGAACTTCTTGTTTCGTGATTCTCATATTTTGCAGTATCTTCATAAGCTCTTCCGGAACCAACACCCATGGTTTCGTGTACATATCAAACTGTGGGCAAAACGAATATCACTCAGTACGAAAGTTGAGATGTCACAGACCCTTTCCTTTAAAAATGATCTCACCTCCATGATAGCTCTATGCCCGTGTTCATCCAAAAACTGCAGAACGTTATAGTAGACTTGCGTGAGGTTAGCCTTTAACCAGCTCATCGCACCTTGGGGATCCTGTTTCCTGAACGCTTCTGCTCGGCCCGACTGTTCTATTTGGAGCGCTAGATTGGCCAGCCCTTGCGGCACTTCGGCTGACAGAACATCACCGGAGTTTAGGAGAGCGCAGATTTCGTTGCAATGCTCCGGTGAGAAATCTGTGAAGCAATGAATAGGAGTGTTTTATTGATGTTTACGATGGTGATGAAAGAACCGTGTGAATGACGTGTGCTTTCCGCATTAGGTAAAGTCATCATGAACCATAATACATTATTAAATAAAAAACACATAAAAATCAATAAGATTGTGCCGAATTATTGTTTTTTTTTTTGTGCAAGACAAGGCAGGTATTTGACCGCAATCGCACCTGGTGTTATGTGAGATGCAGTCTAGGATGATCATACATATCTGCCCTGTAAGTGCCTATTTACTCTCGCCTTAAAAGCCCCGTATGCCCGAAAGCGTCATTTCGAGCTCTCACATCTGCGATACGTACACGTTTCATATCCTCTCGTCTTTGGTGAAAATAACCTACCAGCTTCGTGGCACATCTCCTGTCTCCTCTCCTGGAAACTAGGCCTTACCCGCGGCTCCTTCTAACAGCACCGTCATGGCCACGAACTGGCTGCACGTGCTGGCGGCGCTGGTGCTGCTGTGGTTGTAGGCCACCTGCCACATGGCGCTGCGGGTGTCCGCTATGGACTGCAGGGTCACGCCGGGCGCTGTGACGTCACTCACCCGCGGCTCCCTCCAACAGCACCGTCATGGCCACGAACTGGCTGCACGTGCTGGCGGCGCTGGTGCTGCTGTGGTTGTAGGCCACCTGCCACATGGCGCTGCGGGTGTCCGCGCCAGCTCAGCGGCGCGGAAGAAGAACACCAGGTCCTGCTGCGGCAGGTACCAGCGCCGCGTCAGCAGCGCGCCCAGCCGGATCGCGGCTAGTCGCAGCTTGTGCACGCCGAGGATCACGTGCGCTTTCGTGCTCTCGCGGTGACGGACCGTGCGACGGCATAATGGTAGTACCCAAGCAAGTACTTTCCTGATGACAAAAATGCCGATTATATGTTTTTCTTTTATGTCAGTGACACTATAGACTATAGACTACAGAAACCCTAAACAAAACCGAATCTTGTGCAACAGTGACATATCCGATTTTGTACTTTCCAGAGTACATTATAACTCAATGCTTTCCAGTTATCATATTGTAATTACTGTATTTTTCTTAATAACGTATCTATACCTACTATTGTGACTATTATAGGATTCAAAATGTATAAGAACAAACCTTGTACTGGACTTTTTGGGCGTGGTAAGCGCTGCAATTATCTCTGCATCAGTCTTGGTGCTCTGAACTTCTTGTTTCGTGATTCTCATATTTTGCAGTATCTTCATAAGCTCTTCCGGAACCAACACCCATGGTTTCGTGTACATGTCAAACTGTGGGCAAAACGAATCACTGAGTACGAAAGTTGAGATGCCACAAACGCGTTTAGCCAAAAAATATCTCACCTCCATGATAGCTCTATGCCCGTGTTCATCCAAAAACTGGAGCACGTTATAGTACACTTGCGTGAGGTTAGCCTTTAACCAGCTCATCGCTCCTTGGGGATCCAGTTTCCTGAAGGCTTCTGCACGGCCCGACTGTTCTATTTGGAGCGCTAGATTGGCAAGCCCTTGCGGAACCTCGGCGGACAGAACGTCACCGGAGTTTAGGAGAGCGCAGATTTCGTTGCAATGCTCCGGTGAGAAATCTGTAAAGCAATGAATAAAGGTGTTTTATTAGGATTTGCGATGGCGACGAAAGGACCGTATGAGTGACGTGTGACTTCCTCATTAGGTCAAGTCACCATGCACCATATCATTATACAACGTGTCCCAAAATTCAAGGATAAGCCGGCGCCGCAGGGTGGACCTAGTCATGACTGCTTTAGGAAAAATAAGAAAAAAAACCTATCTCAATTATTTTTTTAAGTTACACAATAAATTATGAAATTCGTCGAAAATTGACACCCCTTATGATATTTTACATTACCACGACTACAATTTTTCGAATACTTCAGTTTTTTTGTTTGTATCGGCAACTTAAGTAGTGCTGCTGTCCACCCCAATTCTTAAAACCCTCAGAATCCTTGCAGTTTTTTACACAAAAGTTAATCAAAATATGATATTTCCTTAAAATTTTGAACGATTTTTACTTACACTCCACTTTGACTCGTCGTTTTGTAAAAAAACAGTATGAACACTCTTAACGAAACGGCGGAATTACATCTAGTTTGGGTTCGTTGGACTTGTCTTTTCGAGCACTTTAGTGCTAGACGATGTTCAGGGTCCTGATGATGAAGTCAAGAGGTGGCAGGAGCTGGCCATAGGAACTCCTAAACGAAACGGCGGAAGCTTATCGAGTTTGGGTTCGTTGGATTTGTCTTCCCGAGCACTTAGGCCATGAGATTGAGAAACAACTAAAAAGCTTAAAATAAAGTTGTAATAAAAAAAACTTATTTAAAAACAAGCTTGACTTCGTTTGAAAATTATAATTGACTTCATCATCAGGACCCTGGACATCATCTAGCACTAAAGTGCTCGAAAAGACAAATCCAACGAACCCAAACTCGATAAGCTTCCGCCGTTTCGTTTAGGAGTTCCTATGGCCAGCTCCTGCCACCTCTTGACTTCATCATCAGGACCCTGAACATCGTCTAGCACTAAAGTGCTCGAAAAGACAAGTCCAACGAACCCAAACTAGATGTAATTCCGCCGTTTCGTTAAGAGTTCCTATGGCCACCTCCATACTCCATCCAGCTCAATGGTACCATAATATTGCATTGTCATCGTACTTACACAAGTATACCAAATTTCAGCTCAAATGGTTAAGGAGAACTGGTTTTAAATTCAGTTGCAAGATTTATCTCATACTAACTTACAAGCGAAATGCTTGTAAAAATGGTACGCATATCTTTTTTGCGACTAGTTTTCTTAGAGTATTATACCATTTCGGAATCTTGGATAGTTGCGTCAACTTTATAAAAAACTTGCCGCAGTAGTGTTCATACTGTTTTTTTACAAAACGACGAGTCAAAGTGGAGTGTAAGTAAAAATCGTACAAAATTTTAAGGAAATATCATATTTTGATTAACTTTTGTGTAAAAACTGCAAGGATTCTGAGGGTTTTAAGAATTGGGGTGGACAGCAGCACTACTTAAGTTGCCGATACAAATAAAAAAAGTGAAGTATTTGAAAAATTGTAGTCGTGGTAATGTAAAATATCATAAGGGGTGTCAATTTTCGACGAATTTCATAACTTATTGTGTAACTTAAAAAATAATTGAGATAGATTTTTTTTCTTATTTTTCCTAAAGCAGTCATAACTATGTTCACCCTGCGGCGCCGGCTTATCCTTGAATTTTGGGACACGTTGTATAAGCAAGGAAATTGAGCCCAATTATTGTTTTTTTTTTATGCAAGACAAGGCAGGTATTTAACCGCAATCGCACCTGGCGTTAAGTGAGATGCAGTCTATGATGTTATGATACATATTATCTGCCCTGTAAGTGCCTATTCACTCTTGCCTTAGAAAGGCCCGCATGTTTCTTGCAATTCCTCGCTGCCGCTGCTTTCTCCCCGCGCCTGGTACACCCGAAAGCGTCATTTCGAGCTCTCATATCTGCGCTACGCTCACGTCTCCTCTCTTCGCGTCTTTGGTGGAAATAACCTGCTAGCTTCGTGGCACATCTCCCGTCTCCTCTCCTGGAAACTAGGCCTTACCCGCGGCTCCTTCTAACAGCACCGTCATGGCCACGAACTGGCTGCACGTGCTGGCGGCGCTGCTGCTGCTGTGGTTGTAGGCCACCTGCCACATGGCGCTGCGGGTGTCCGCTATGGACTGCAGGGTCACGCCGGGCGCTGTGACGTCACTCACCCGCGGCTCCTTCCAACAGCACCGTCATGGCCACGAACTGGCTGCACGTGCTGGCGGCGCTGGTGCTGCTGTGGTTGTAGGCCACCTGCCACATGGCGCTGCGGGTGTCCGCCATGGACTGCAGGATCACCGCCGGGTCCTCTGACGTCATGTCGATGTCTAGAGACTTCACCCTCTTCATTGTGTCGGTCATGTGCCATTTGGACCAGATGATTCTCTGCAATAACAAATTACAGTTTATTACACACTTTACAATTTTTTTGAGTGACACAGGTTTCTTTTGAAGTCATAGACCATAGATTAAGAAAAAATCGATTTGCGTTTTTTATAACGCACGATAAACGCAAGTGGTCAGCGAGCCTCTGTCGGAGACAGTGTGAGGTGTATGGGTGTATGATGGACTGATGTCTGGCAGGTCTTGGTACAGGAAAACACCGAAGTTTGCAGATAACACAATAATATGTTCAAGACACACAACAAAATTGAGAACAACAGTGTTGTCATTGGCAAAAAATAAAAAAGGAAATATTTTATGTTGCTTGCAATAGCCTCGTCTAGCAATATTTTTTCAAATCGAGTTTCCTGCAAGTCTACTCACCACAATGAGGAACCACAGCATGTCCATCTTATCACTCCACTTGGGCGGGCGCCGGCGCACGGCCGTCTGAATGACGGCGTCGTCTGCTACTTTATGTCCGTGGAGAGCCATCTCTACCATGCGAATGTTGACGTCCACTTCGGGTGGCGCGCGACGGTATACTGACTGAGGATCAAAGAGAAATACACCGAATTTCGTAGGAGAACCAAAGTAGCCATGTAGCCTGAAGAATTGCCAAACCTAAGTGGCAGTGGGCGGGGCTTACGTGGCAGTGGGCGGGGCACATAGCTCGTAGAAGTAATGGGACATAACTCAACATAGCTTGTAGGCCGTTAGGGCAGAAACTTTCTCGAGTGGCGACCATGAAGCCAGATCTCGCACTCAGAAGACCGACGATCTGGTAAAGGTCCGACTTTTGTGCTGCATGCATTAAAGGACCAGTCTCTTCTGCACGGAAATCCTTGAATCTTCGTAAAGCAGTGGACGTTTTTTTATTAAAACAAACAGCATAATTGGTGCGCCAAAGACACTAGTACCATTACTAACGTGGTGAGAGATTTGTTCATGGGAATAAGTGGTGAAAATTACTGCAACTCCAGTGGCGGTAAGTGGAGGTGGAGTAGCATGATTTTATTTCTAGAACCCCGCACCTACCACTAAATTATCCGGTAAAAATAATATGTACCTACTGCTTTATTTATTTTTCATGCCTTTCTACTCACATTGTACAGAGCGATCATGCACCTATTGTGCGTGAACGCGACCGAGTCCTCGTAGTCTCCGATGTCGTTGCTGACCGTCTTGCTCATGCCTTTGATCAGAGGCTGTACCACCAAGTCGTGAGATAGAGGCGTCACTGGCTTTGGGAATACCTGCGAAGATATTACATGAGAAAATTACATTTAAAATTAAAAACAATAAATGCATTAAGAAAGCAAAGGGCTTAATTAGGTGATCGGTTTAGTTTGGCTCCTGTCACATAAAAAAAATTGGATATATGAAATCACCTGCGAGAAATGTTTAACTACTGCAGCGCTGCAGGGAAGTTGTAGAAAATATCTAAAGTATCTGTTAGTAAGCGTTACCAGCCACCTTCAAAATGTTCAGAAAAATTGTTTTGACGATTTCTATGATTTCTATGTGTCAAAAATCAATTGTTATATGTATCGTATTTGCCTGTGAGACTATAAACCTGTCAAGGTTCTTCAACCTATTCCCCCGATAGTACCTATCTGCTTCTATCGGAGGAATAGGTTTATCTTGTTGGATAAGTAAAAGTTATTGTACTAACCTCGCCGCAGTTAGCAAATGTGGTGAACTCATCGTCAGCCATGATAGGAGAATCAAGTTCGTGAAGAAGTTCTTCCTCTGTCCATCGCTCTAAGGAGGTGATGGGCCGCGCTTGCACCAGGAATATGTCATTCTAAAACACGATGGAATATAAAACAAAATGATAATTATCATTAATCCATCCAGACAATAAGGTGTGCTGTCAGCTTTACCACTCGGCCAGTATTCCAATCTACAAGTTTTACTGATACAATTTAATTTTTTACAAGGTTTAACTTTATAGCATTAAGTATAGATCGCACAGCAAGAGTTGAGACGCTTAACTCTAGAAAGATTTCTACCTATAGAGGTAGAAATGCATATTACCGTGTCTATACGCTTGTCGCGCTGACGTCTTGTATTCAGACTGTGTTCTGAAATCATATTACATCAGTAAGAAGCGAACACCTCAACTTTCGTTGTGCGACCTATACAATCGTTTATACAGGGTGTTTTTTACTCACCTCGCTAATGGCCCACTCGATATCCCTCCCAGCGCCCCACCAGTCTTCTTGTTGCACGCCTATACTGGCCAGCCGCAGCGCCTCTTCCTCGCTCAGGCAAGCCACCGCCCTATCTGCCTCGGGCACCGCCTCCGTGGTCACGCCGTCATCTGCCGCCGTCACTCGCTGCGCCTTGGAGCCTAGGTCGATGCTCATGATCGACAGCTGGTCGTCTAGGTCCCGGGATACGACTATGGTGTCGGGGTCTACTGATCCGGAAACTACGCTCTGGAATTAGTAATATAGTGATTATTATTTAATGCAGGGCGCTACCAATCGATCAACATGGAAAGCATTGGGGGAGGCCTATGTTCAGCAGTGGACGTTCTATGGCTGAAATGATGATGATTATTATTATTTAATGAACAGTGGAACGATTGTTTGTCTCATTAACCCTAGAGAGATCTGCAATCTCAATCAATTTACACCGAGAGGTCTTTATCGCCAAAACGCAAGAAGAATTTCAATTCATTTCGTAACACAGCTGAACTTTTGGCGCTATTTACGGCAAATGTATTATGTTACATTCTCACAATTAATAAAAGATGATGTAAAATCATAAAACTGTAGGCTCAGAGTTGAATCTGAATCATTTCATGATCCATTCATATAGCATGCATTCAGATGGCCCACACATCGTAGCAGTGTTCTATGTTTTTCCACAAAACAGATCTGCCACGTGGAAATCCGCGCTCGAATTCACTTCATTACACAGAGCGGTGGGTTTAACAGAATGCTTAATGTCCGGCCAGCTTCTGAAGACTAGCCGGGCTAGGAAGCGCGCCGTGATAATATCATCGATGATTTTAGACGTCAAAATGTATTGTACTTCTCGGGTTAAATCGATAAAATGGTCGCATCACATACAGGCGTCTGTCTATTCTACATACCTCCCCCAGCCCGTAGTTGGCGGTGAGCAGCAGACGCGATGGGTCGCCGGCGGCGGGGTGGCGCGTGGACAGCACGCCGGCACCACGCCGCCGGCGCGCCGGCACGCCTGGCCCTGTCTCCTGTACCTACCTCCCCCAGCCCGTAGTTGGCGGTGAGCAGCAGGCGCGCGGGGTCGCCGGCGGCGGGGTAGCGCGTGAACAGCACGCCGGCACCACGCCGCCGCCGCGCCGGCGCCACGCCGGCACCACGCCGCCGCCGCGCCAGCACGCCCGGCCCTGTCTCCTGTACGTACCTCCCCCAGCCCGTAGTTGGCGGTGAGCAGCAGACGCGATGGGTCGCCGGCGGCGGGGTGGCGCGTGAACAGCACGCCGGCCGCGCGCGCCGGCGCCAGCGCCTGCACCACCACGCCGCCGCCGCATAAGCAAGGCTGCCCGTTCTGTCTGCGAACAAATGGGCCGATTAGGCACAGTCAGCGTCAAATAGTTCGTGACATCCAAAGTGACCAAAAAGTTGACAACACAACCTTATTCAAATTGTAACAAAGAAGTGTTGCGAACTTTTTGGCTACTTTGGGTGTCACGAACTACACTCGGCATCAAATAAATCGCACCTCCCGCGACAAGCACTTCTCAAACGTATGCATCCCCACTTCCCACCAACATTGGTTGCATTTGAAAGCCTAGTTCTAACCTTCATTTTATTAAAAGAAAGGTTTTTATCCCAAAAATGTGTTTTTAGAAAGATCCAGAGTCACTTCTTCAAAAAATAGGTAGTTACGTTTGAGCCAACTTTTATGGCTATAAAACTGTTAAATTGGGATTAATCGCTATCTATCTGTTATAAAAAGGACACGTAAGATCATTATTTGGTTCTATAACCACAAAAACTGGTCTAATTGATCCCAGAGGTGAGCCCAAAGTGAGACCTTTTTTCAAGTCACATTTATGGTAGGTACCTGTTGAAGTTTATTTATTGGGCTTTCAAATAACATCAATATTGTTGGGGCACCATGATTGTGTCAGAAGAAAATCTTTAGGCCTCAGCCTCGAACTTAGCGGGCAGCGGGGCGGCGGCGACGGCGGCGCGGGAGCGGGGCGGGCAACGCAGACCCTGTTCTCGAAACCAGCGGGCAGCTCGCGCGGCGCTTTAGCGGCGAAGTGTTGTGTTCGGGGTTGTGTTGTCGAGATATTTGTTTTTATTCGCGAACGTAATGTCTGAACAACAGCGACAATTTTATTTCGATTCAAATTTATTCCTTACGGTCGATTTATTGTGGGCAAAAGAAGGAGTGCGCTGCCCGCTCGTTGCCCGCTCCCTCGCCGCTGCCCGCTCGTTGCCCGCTCCGGCGCCGCTGCCGCGCCGCTGTTTTCGAGAACCGGTCTATTTGATTTTACGCATAAGATCCTGCCGCTCCCGCGCCGCCGCCGCCGCCGCCCCGCTGCCCGCTTAGTTCGAGGCTGAGGCCTTAAAGTTCGCGTCGCGGAAGGTGCGATTTATTTGATGTTGAGTATATTTTACGCTGACGCCTGACTGTACTCCTTCTTCTTCGTCGATACACTCTTGCCAGAGTGGTCGTGGTCGTCACACCCGGTCCGGTGACAAGCCTCACATTCCGTCGCCATTCCTCCCGCACTGCAGCTTTTCTTGTACACTCGTGGAGTGGACCATTGAGTGTGGTTTTGACCTGGTCAGTCCACTGACTGTACTCCTACAATGCGACAAAGCGACTGAGACGTATAACATCGCATATATGCTGATACTTTCGCCACTATTCCTATGGATGTCATAAAAGTCAACTAAGAGACAAATATATGAACATCAGTGAGCCTAGGATGCGCGCCGCGATATGATCTTCTATTGAATGCCACATGAGGCACAGCTAAACAGCAAAACTTCACCAAACGGCGTCCACAACTGTAATAGTAATAGCTAAAAAACATTGTAAACAATAAAGTCACTAACCTTCTGTAATATGCACTAGTAAACGCGAACATCGAACCCCAACACTTCTGTACGCCTTTGAGGACATCTGTGTCACTGACGCATCCCAGTATGGTCTCGTTCTGGCCTGCAGCCGAGAGGGTCTCACTGTCTTCTCCCACAGCTGTTAAAAATACATTAATTCCATGAAAAGCGTCACGTAATTTGAAGAGAAAATTATGGATAAATTCCCAAGTAAATGACTGTTCTGTAGTCTGGTATAGGTATACTGGTCTCTGGAATTACTAAGTAGTTCAGAGATTTGAAGGAATAAAGGCCCGTATTTTAATACTCGTAGATTAAACAGATAGAACTTACCAGAAGACCTGACCGCAAACCGCCGTTCGGGGCCCAGGTTTTCTTTAGCCGCCTTCTTCCTCAGCTCACTGAGATGTGTCAATACTTCTTCACGAACCTCACCGATTATTTCAGTGGCAGCAAATAGCTCAACCGCTCTGTAATATGAAATTAACATTCTATAAAACTATTTTTTGAAATTGTATTATGTTGTATCATCTATTTATCTATATGTTTGTATAAATAAAAATGAATTGATGTTCGTTAGTCTGATTAAAACTCGAAAACGCCTGGGCCGATTGAGCTGATTTTGGTTTTAAAATGTTAGTCGTAGTCCAGTATAGGTAAACGGTGAGCAAATACGCGCGCGATATTGTTTTTCTGTGACAGACAAAATTCCACGCGGGCGAAGCCGCGGGCGGAAAGCTAGTTAAATATAAATTTTCTTTTACCTGTTGCATTTTTCTTTGAAAATGGCTTCATTGTAGTTTTCATTGGCAGCTTCGATTTCTCGAACGGCCTTTATCAATTGAGGGTTAACTTCCAAATGGTACTCAAGGGCGTGGATTGTCAAACAGAAGCCGGGTGGAACACGATATCCCTAAAATAAAAATAAAGTAAATAAATAGATTCTATAGACCTAAAAACTTAACCTGAAAAAAAAATTACATTACGATTATTTTATTTATAGCTTTACAGCAGCACAACTGTGTACAAAATTAGTAAAATAATTATATTTGCACTTCTACTCAGAAGTTAAAAAAAATTTAGTAAAACGAAAAGCTTGATGTCAGAAATGAACTTATTCTTATCACTCACCCCTGCCTTCTGCATGGAAGAGAGTAACGCAAGAGAGGCCCCCTTGCCCCCCACGTAGGCCGGGCAGGCGGCCGCGCGGTCTTCGAAAGCTAAGCAGTGCCCCACACGACCCACCTCCGCCTCTGTCAGCCATTTTAGGACCCGCGGAGGGGTCAGCCGAACAGACGGCTCGCGTATCTCTGAAAAGTTAAACTTGGAGTAAATATAAAATAAAACTCAGCTACGATCAACGAGGGGTTCACTAGATTTAAAACGTTATTTTCAAAACTATCTACAAAGCATTATCAATCATTTAATTTATGCACCCCTCGTGATGCCAGCAGGCCAGCTGGACTGCTGGTTGTAAAGAAGACATCACGGTGGGAGGGACCGACGCGTATAGCGTACGCCATCTTGCGCCGTCATATCGCTAGATGGCACTGTGCGCACTTGACTCGCGATATTTAAGTTTTTTTTCCTGCAAAGACCTTCCCTGCCAACCGATCCCAAAGCATACTTACCTGGCATAGGGGACACCGTGATCAAGAAGGCGGTTCCCCCAGGGCGAGGCTGTTCCATTGCACTGCGGAACGGTTGACCCCTGCGATTATCCCTAATGTGGATAACTCGGATGCGTAATTTTTGGTAGTGGGGACTGCGTACGCGCCGTCCCCCCATAATTCCCACCTCATAATAATCCTTTCCTAACCGGATCGGAGAGAATTGTCTCTAAATCGCCTAGTTGCTAGGAAATAAAGTTTTAAACTTATATTATAATAGCATGAATTCTGCATAGCATACTAAATAAATATAATTAGATCTTATTATCACTATCATTTACGTACCCATCCAGACATTATTTCCTTACTGAACGTATTATTTTATTATTAACATACATAACTAAAATATGCATAATAATATAGGCTATAATTTATAACGATTCTTAAGCCGGATCTCTTGAGACACTGTTTTAGTGTTTTCTGTCCAACACCTAAAACTAAATATGGGCGTGGCTTATATTTATTAGCATAAACACACTAAACGTTCGTGTAAAAATCGCGATTGGGTGCAATATTTTATGTTCGTATACATGTTTTGTTATTTTTGTTTTTTTGATCAAGTTTACGTAGGTACCGAGTTACCGACTCGTAGCCCAGCTGCACATTCCGGCTCTTTGTATCACAAATAACGATTTTATTCGTTGTTTTCATCTTTTGGTAACATATAGTTTTCTATAACGTGTCTACAAAGCATATTATCAACAGTAATATAAAATTACAATAATTTAATTTACCCATCCTCGTGATACCAAGCCGGTTGGAGTGGTTCTAAATATAGCATGCTTAATCTAGCACGCGTTAACCGAAGTGGGAGGGGCCGACGCGCATGGCGCGCGCCTTCTTGCATCGTCATATCGCTAGATGGCGCTGTGCGCACTTGACTCGCGATATTTAAGTTTTTTTTCCTGCAAAGACCTTCCCTGCCAACCGATCCCAAAGCATACTTACCTGGCATAGGGGACACCGTGATCAAGAAGGCGGTTCCCCCAGGGCGAGGCTGTTCCATTGCACTGCGGAACGGTTGACCCCTGCGATTATCCCTAATGTGGATAACTCGGATGCGTAATTTTTGGTAGTGGGGACTGCGTACGCGCCGTCCCCCCAGAAAACTTGATGATAGAGTAGTGACGCTCCTTCACACTACAACTTTGGCGTGAACTTTTCAGCTATAAATTAATGACCATGCTGTATTGTGTAGCGACTTACGTTTCGGCTCGTAGCCTAGCTCCACGATACCCGCGCCGGCCTCGCCGTCGATGTCGACGCTAGCGGCGTGGTACACCGCCTCGTGCTGGTACGGCACCCCGCTCAAAGCCCTTGCGCTATCTTTATGCAGGCGCACTACCACACGAAGATTTCTGTGTTGAGCTGGAATGATTTTTTTTTAATTTGTAAATACAAATCTATACTAATATAAATGCGAAAGTAACTCTGTCTGTCGGTCTGTCTGTCTCGCTTTCACGCCTAAACCACTGAACCGATTTTTATTTAATTTGCCATAGAGATAGTTTCAGTCCCGGGAGAGGACATGGGATNGGGGCGCGCGCGAGCGTTGCTGGGCTCCGCACGGCTGGCCCGGGCTTAGAAGAGAAGTTGCTATCACAGCGGTCGCTGCTGATGGAACCGCTGTGCATTTGAGAGCGCTGTCGTATAAGAATGTATTGACGCATTAAGTATTGCTATAGTATACATATGATTAATTTGACAGAGGCAGTTTTGTTAGGGTTCAAATTGCGCTGGCACATGTAAAAGTGCTTATTTACGCATACAAACAGGTCGCTGCCGACGGCACTGCTGAGCACTTATGAGCGCTGTCGTAGAAGAATATTTGGCAGGATTAAAATTACACTGGCTATGACCTGGTTTTGTAATAAAGAATATTATAATTTTAAAATGAGAATTAATTTGTTGATTTCAGGTGCATTTCTGGAACAGTCAGATTCCCAAATACGAAGATAATGAGCGTCACCAGTACCAATTTGCAGATGAAAGACTTCTGCGAGAATCCAGATGAGATTTCAAACGTTTTCACCTTCAATGTTGGCAGTGAGTAATTGTTTACTCGCAATAAGAAATTTATTTATTAGCATTTAAGGTAGTAAGTAATTAGTCATTTACAAGTATTAATTGATATTGGTTGGTAATTGCACGCTTGGCAGCCTTAGGCAATCTATGCAGCAATAACACATACAAAAGAGTTATTGATATTGAAAAGAGTTTTTAAGTCAAGGTTCCTTATTTTTTTCCATTAGTAAAAAATGCATGTGTAAATAAAAATTTTATAAAAAAAAATAAAACCGACTCCAAAAAACCTACACTAAAACGTAGAAAAATAATTACTAATTACCTACTAATTTATTAGGACGAATTATTAATATTTATGTAGGTATACCATGATTGATACTTTTGGAGTCGGTGCAGGCAAACTTTACATGTTCCATAATCTTGGCACCGACTCCAGAAGTATCAATCATGGTATACCTACATAAATATTAATAATTCGTCCTAATGAATTAGTAGGTAATTAGTAATTATTTTTCTACGTTTTAGTGTAGGTTTTTTGGAGTCGGTTTTATTTTTTTTTATAAAATTTTTATTTACACATGCATTTTTTACTAATGGAAAAAAATAAGGAACCTTGACTTAAAAACTCTTTTCAATATCAATAACTCTTTTGTATGTGTTATTGCTGCATAGATTGCCTAAGGCTGCCAAGCGTGCAATTACCAACCAATATCAATTAATACTTGTAAATGACTAATTACTTACTACCTTAAATGCTAATAAATAAATTTCTTATTGCGAGTAAACAATTACTCACTGCCAACATTGAAGGTGAAAACGTTTGAAATCTCATCTGGATTCTCGCAGAAGTCTTTCATCTGCAAATTGGTACTGGTGACGCTCATTATCTTCGTATTTGGGAATCTGACTGTTCCAGAAATGCACCTGAAATCAACAAATTAATTCTCATTTTAAAATTATAATATTCTTTATTACAAAACCAGGTCATAGCCAGTGTAATTTTAATCCTGCCAAATATTCTTCTACGACAGCGCTCATAAGTGCTCAGCAGTGCCGTCGGCAGCGACCTGTTTGTATGCGTAAATAAGCACTTTTACATGTGCCAGCGCAATTTGAACCCTAACAAAACTGCCTCTGTCAAATTAATCATATGTATACTATAGCAATACTTAATGCGTCAATACATTCTTATACGACAGCGCTCTCAAATGCACAGCGGTTCCATCAGCAGCGACCGCTGTGATAGCAACTTCTCTTCTAAGCCCGGGCCAGCCGTGCGGAGCCCAGCAACGCTCGCGCGCGCCCCAAACACGTAAATAAATACGCACTATTACAACGCTTTCACAAGCCAAAAGGAAGAACTTACTGTGTCAAGACATTCTTATACGACAGCGCTCTCAGATGCACAGCGGTTCCATCAGCAGCGACCGCTGTGATAGCGACTTCTCTTCTAAGCCCGGGCCAGCCGTGCGGAGCCCAGCAACGCTCGCGCGCGCCCCTAACGCGCAAATATTCGCTGTGCGTGGGCGCACCTTGCGCGTCGAACGCCTCGATGCGGCCTTGTGCAGCGCCCCATTGTAACCAGCCGCCTTCTTCCCATCTACCCCTGGAACCAGAAAAAAGAGAATTGAATCACTATGACCTTGCCTTTCGACTCAAATAGGTATCTCCTATGGGAGCATGCGTTCTCTCCATCTTAGATCCAAATTAGTTTAAATAACTGTAACCTAAGTGCCTACGAAGCTTAATTCAATCAATTATCCGTTAAGCTAGCACCCATAACACAAGCATTGAGTTGCTTACTTTGGGGCTAGCTGGCGCTGTGTGAAATTGTCAAAAAAAAATCCAATCTTAAGCGTAAAATATATTAAAGGCGGCGTGTATCGACATAGCGAGGCTGCATACGCTCAGTGCAAACTCTGGGCAGCAGCCTCACAATGTCGATAAACACCTTAAGGCGTTTCTTTGGCTGAGTTTCATTATTTAGTTAGACCGGTCTTTCCCAAAGTGGGCGATAACGCAACCTTGTGGGCGCTGCAGGCTTAAAGGCGGTAAGACCCCGGAAAAAAAACTCGGGGCATTGTGTAGAGGCTTGGGAGGCGATTTATAATATCATATACTAGGAGGACTCTTAGACACCGACTGAGCACTCGACTCTTGACTACAAAAATGGGGGCACTAAAAAAGAATTTATTCTCAAAGTGGGCAGTAGAAAAAATTAAGTTTGGGAACCGCTGAGTTAGACCAATCGCATCACAGAATCTACGACTGTGATCCTAATTCAAACAAAAGGACAGGACTCACAACAAATTGAACCACTTGTCGTCGCGCCAGGGCTCGAGCGCCAGCGCGGCGGCCGCCAGTTGCGCGCTCCAGTCGTGCGGATGCACCGACACCTCCGACGCCGCCGCCCAGCTGAAATTACAAGTGGGAAATAGCAGGAAATAATTATGGAAAAACTGTGACAAAACAACACGGGGGATAATACAGGGTATTAGGTAAATGGGAATATGAGCCGACACTAGACCATGATAACATAGTCATATAAATGGTATGGTGAAGTCAAAATTTGATATCATCATTTTATTTTTTTTAATTTTCATACAAGTAAATTTTATAAAATCCGATTTGTATGAAAATTAAAATAATTAAAATGAAGATATCAATTTTCTGACTTCACCATACCATTTATATGACCATGTTAACATGGGCTAGTGTCGGCTCATATACCCATTTACCTAACTCCCTGTATATAACTTCCTATTGTGCTATTTTTTGCATTCTGAAATAAGTAAGTACCAACGACAGGTCATCAAGGGGTCTATTGGACTCTCAATCTAATCGAGACCCACTGGATGACAGAAATGATTGTAACTTAAGCTGACGCAAAAGTCACACTCTACAGCATTGGTTCCCAAAGTGGGGGGCGCGGGCCATCTGTGTACTTAAGTATAAAAAACCTGCGACCGCTGATAGAATGCATTCCAGACCAACAAATAATCTTGACTGGAGGAATGGTCGAAAGGTGGCGCGTCTCAAATAAGTTTGGGAACCAATGCTCTACAGTAACTTCTGCCCTAAAGATTTCGCTTTCTAATGAACAGCAAGAGACACATGATACCATTATCATGGTATCATATCTATAAAAGAGTTAAATACGATAAAATTATTTTTAATGTGTCACTAGTCGATAAGATAATAAGTACAGCTAAAAAGTGAATGAAAGCACTTTGGATCACGAGTCACGATGCTATTTAACGGTACTAAGTTAGTTTAAATCGTGAGTGAAACATTTCGTAGCAGTTATTACATACGTGAGGTTAAACTTCACATGCTGCGTGACTCCATCGGTCCTGGTGAGCAGGCCGTTGTATAGGATGCGCCAGCGCACTTCGGGCTCCAGANGCTCCAGGATCAGTATCTTTAGCCCGCCCGCGCTCCATCCCCCAGGGATGTTCTCCCATACACCCACTATCGAGTCAGGGGAACCTGGAAGAGAGGACAAGGGAAGCATTTAGAATCTTCTAATGGAGATGTTCTCTCACGCACTCGCTATCGAATCGGGGGAACCTAGAAGCAAAGGACAGGGGAAGCATTTAGTTAGAACCTGTCCTACTGGAAACGCGTTATCTCACGCGCACACTATCGATTCGGGGGAACCTGGAAGCAGCAAGGGTTAAGGAAAGCATTTAGAACCTGGTCTACGGTTAACGTTATTTCGCACTATTGAATTAGGGGAAGCTGGAAGCAGAGCACAGGGAAAAATTTAGAGCCTGGTTCTACTGGAGACGTGGGACACGTGCCTACTATCTAGTCAGGGGAAGCATGATAGGCTGAAAAGGCCGTGTGAAACTGTTCTGTTGGTAAATTAATAATTATAGAATTTGGGACATTTTCATAGTGTAACGATTTCAGCTAAATATGCAACTCGTAGAATAACTACATCACAATTTTTCTGAGAATTATGCACATTTTTAGAAGATTTCATTGCTGATAACAACAGAGGTAGTAACAAAAAATATATAACATACGTGGCATAACAAACGTCGTTCCATTAGCCAGCCTGACGTGCACTGTCACTTCTGCCAGCGGCTGGCGGCCGCACAGCACCCTTATGCCCAGGGTCACAGCGGCGCCGCCTGGCGAGGCCGCGCGGACCCACACCGCGTCCCACCCCTCGCGCAGGTTTGAGCGAGGCAGCTCCGGCGTTAAGGCGGCGGGGAGTTGGGCCTTCCACCGCCGGACGGCGTAGTACCGCGCCCATAGCATCTTTAGCGGGTGGTTCCAACCTTCTAAGTTAATAATAACACAAACAACATACGTGGCTTAACAAATGTCGTTCCATCAGCCAGCCTGACGTGAACTGTCACCTCTGCCAGCGGCTGGCGGCCGCACAGCACCCTTATGCCCAGGGTCACAGCGGCGCCGTCTGGCGAGGCCGCGCGGACCCACACCGCGTCCCACCCCTCGCGCAGGTTTGAGCGAGGCAGCTCCGGCGTTAAGGCGGCGGGGAGTTGAGCCTTCCACCGCCGGACGGCGTAGTACCGCGCCCATAGCAACTTTAGCGGGTGGTTCCAACCTTTGTAACAGAAAAGGTATGAAAACAAACGTAATTACTTTGCAAAGTAAATTGGCAGCTCAGTCGTCTAATCCTTAGCCAGATGGACCTTGCCAGTGAATCTATGAATAAAACTGCAAGGGAATTTGGTAACAATCATCAAAAATAATGGCATTCATTAGTCATTCCACACAATGCTGGTAAATGTCCAACAGTAACATTTACCAGCATTGTGTGCCCATACTAATACTAATATTATATCTGTGCTAATACACGTCGCTTATGTGATTTATATAGATGTCATTTAAACTTAATTAAGATAAATGCAAACGGTCAAAAGTCCAAAATTTGACTTCACAAATTCACAATATTTTTAAAAAATATTTATCATAACCTCGTACTAGAAAAAGCGATGATATTAGATCATAGTGATGAGCAAGCAATTAAAGAGTCAACGACCGGCCTACATTCTAAATTATATTTCTATGCCATCAGTCAACAAACACCAACTTCAACGTTAAACGTAGACAAAACAACACAGCTTTAACGTCATTTAATTCAAAATATATTATTTACCTATTAGATGCAACATTAAGATTGATTTATCAAAAAGTTTTATAGTTCCAATAGTTAGGGTCCTTATCATTGCCACGCAGAAGTAACAATTACCGCTATTTTTAAATGCAATTCATAAGATTATAGCAAACAAATGCATAGGTATGATGTAGGTTTGAGAAACCCAGTCTCGTATTACCTAAGCATTTCAAGGCGATGTGATTGATATTCATATTCATTACAAATCTGACGCCAGCGTTATCATATCAAGCACGTGTGCGATCAATTTATCATAGCGCGTCGCGGCCGGCATACCTAATAATCAAATTTCGTTCGGCGCAAAGTTTTAACAAATATTAAAGTTACGTACCAGGAAGTCTGTATTCCCCTTTCCTTGTGATGGTAGGTCTTCTGAAAAATATCAAATATACCACCAATGCAGCAGTGATTAGTCCAGTACTCAAAAGTAGGTCAAATATGATATCCATGTTGATTGACACTGGTTAACTGGCTTATTTGGTATACAAAACTTGTTTATATACAAAACTAATAGCATCTGGGAAAATTCAAGACAAAGACGTCCACGGCGCGACGACGTCTGAATGACTATGTTGACATTGCTTGGGCTCGCGTAATCGGAACCTCTAACTAGCTACATAATTACGGCTCGAAAACATAATCTCCGCTAATCGTCTTGATTATTATATCTTTGTAGGTACTGATTGGTGGCCATAGAAACTGCTGAACCATGTACATGAATCAGTCTGGCGTGAATACTTTGTACCATTTATAATTACATCCGTTAACTTATTTATCAAAATACTAGCGGCCGCCCGCGACTTCTTACGCGTGGGTGGACCCCGTTTTACCCCTTAAGGGTTGAATTTTGCTCGGAAATTCTTCGAATTATTCTCGCCGTAAAACCCATCCTTGGACTTCAACGAACATTTAAAAAAAAAAATTAGTAAAATTGGCCCAGGTTTTGTTGAATTATGCGCTTACCAACACATTTTGCGATTCATTTTACATTATAGATTAAATTGTTGAACGTGCTGCCTGTTACCTATAGTGTTTTAAACTTTGTTACATATGTATAGGTAACTAGCTGACCCGGCGAACTTTGTTCCGCCTTAATGGCAATAAATAAGCAGTCTTTTTTTTATTTCGAACGGGATAAAAAGTATCCTATGTCCTTCTCCTGGCTCTAAACTACCTCCCTGACAATTTTCAGCTAAATCGGTTCAGCCGTTCTTGAGTTATAAGTGGAGTAACTAACACGACTTTCTTTTATATACAGTGTGAGTCACGTTAAAGTGTACATATGAAAATAGATGAAACTATACCTATTTTTATCGACAAAAAAGAGGTCAAATTTTTTTTGGGATTTTGCGATACTAAAAAAATACATATATAAAAAATTTAAAAAAAATCTCAAAAAATTGTTGACCTCTTTTTTGTCGATAAAAATAGGTCTAGTTTCATCTATTTTCATATGTACACTTTAACGTGACTCACACTGTATAGATAAGATTGGTATCATATACTTAATTTAATAATGACACCAACCAAGCATAACGCTACGGGCAGTCGCATCATCTGGTTATCCGCGTCATATCAACATACAAACACCGGATCTGGATATAACCGTACTCATAAGTCCGACTGTCTAAATACCCATAGTAAACTCTATGTATAGCCACTTGAATCACATGCCGGTTATCTAAAACAACTCAAGTAACCCGGCGTGTAAACAAAAAACGCACTCTTACATAAACTCAAATAAAATTTGTGCAAAATCATTAAGTTATCTAATCAATTAATAGATTATGCAGTTTTGGGTAGCAAATAGCGATAGTGAGTTTCAAACTTTTAGAAAAATTATTTAAATGACAATTTTACCATAACATCTCGCATGTGCATTTATCTATACCTTCTCGCAATCTTTAATTGCATTTACGATTCAGTTACAGCATACATTAAATTATTTACTCTACCATTATCTTCTAATCAAAATCAAACACCCTGTCTGATTACATTACAAACAAGACAAGCATTAAGCTTTAAACTCTATTTGCTTACTCTATTCCTCAATACAATTTTATACAATGTAATGAAACCTATTTCCAGTGCATAAATAAGAGGTTAATTTAATAAAAAATAATAAAAAATAGTTTACTGTAAATTTTTGTAAATTTAATAAAATCATTCCAATTATTTTTTGAGACCATTGTTATCAACAAAACTGATAAATGCAATAACGGTACGCAAAACTATTATCATACACCTACTCGTAAACATAATCAACAGTAGTAAGATTATTTTTAATTACTTTCGCGAAGTCGTTGAACCGTGCACTTTTGCCAGTCTGCCAGATCATGGCTGCCAATTCGTCTATATCTGGTTACCGAATTTAGTGCAGTGTCATTTCAATTCTATAGCAGGTGGTTGTGTAAACACCAGGATGTTATGGATATCCGTAACCGTAACCGATTCAAAAGTTTCGGATAGTTTCGGATCGGAAAGGCGATCTTAATACATTTTAATATTTGTTACTTGTCTGGAACTCCCTGGCACCATCTAATATAAATAATATAATACCCGCCTGTTCTACCTTTATCATGGGTGTCGTTACATAAAGTGGCTCTGGGTCGCGCAGCTTCTTGCTATTTGAATTTTACATTTCAAATTCTAATATCCGTAACCAAAATTATCCGAAACTTTCGGATAATCCGAAATGATTTCATAACCGTAACCGAAACCGGTACAATATTATTGTAATATCCGTAACCGTATCCATAACCGAAACTTCATATATCCTAAACACACACAGACATGCAGAAAGAAATGTTCCTAAAAAGACACGTTACGCAAATGCACTTGTTGGAACAAAATTTTGACACGTGCCCGGTTTTATTTACCAACACAAGACACACCGTTATCTTATATTTAGTTAAATGTGCCTCGTGTATGCTATTTACAAAAGTAACTCAATCAAATCGGTTTCTAATGTTTTTGTCCCACAAATCACTAAATGGTTTCAGTAACAACAACGGAAAAGCAACACTCAAATCTAATACTAATTAATATTTATTTAATTTAATGGCTTGAATGCGTTTTTCAGTGTCGTTTAATACTTGAGCGTTTTATAATTATACGGGTCTGCATATTTTTTTTTATTCGAATATTTTATTGAGGAGTAGGTATGCATGCAACAAGTAGGTACCTACTTAATTATTATAATATGTATTAAAACAAAGTTTGAAACAAATGCATTTATTGGCAAGTCCATTTCGTGTACAATTTATCAAATGGGGCAATATAAATATTTATTTTATTCGTCTACTAATTTTACCTTTTATATCCACCACACAACTACAAACTATTGTGATGTTATCTTATTTAAATAATACAAAATAAAAAATATCATATTACATACACGATAATAATATAAAAAAATATTTTCATAACATATTCGTAGCTTTTTTAAATGCAAAATTAGATAAAATATGTGATACAACATGTCCCATTAAAGGAAAGGCAAACTAAGAGATCCGTAGTCACAAGAGTCTTTTTAAACGTCAATCTAGCCGACTTATAAGGAAGAAAACAAATATTACACAAAATAAAATATAATTACAACATTATTTTTAATTTATTAGTCATCAGATATCTTTTATTGCCATTGTAAAAAAACTACATACCCTTTTCACAGTCTTTCAAAATATACAAATGTAGCACGTAATATACAAATATAACACTGCAATACACCGAATTAATAAATTAAATGCCTTAAAATATTGTGTGTTTGATACAGAATTCACATTACATAAGAATATTATATGTATACTGGTATATTTTACTAAGAGGGACGGAAAATAACCTATTTAATCCGCCCAGCGCTTAACCGCAAATTCAACAACATAAATAAGTAAATTTACAAATAACAACATATTTAAATAAATTACTAATGATCGCGTGTATAAAACACGAGGAATTTTATTAATTGAAATTAGAAAACAGCGTAAGTTCTAGCGTACTAACCGATTATTAAATTGTGCGCTAAATTCATGTAAATAAATACTACTTGAGACTTTTTTATTTTATTTGATTTTTCATATCTTCTTATATCGCACAGCTGCAGCGAATGACTGCAGCGCCATAGCGCGACAAATGTTTTATGACTATTTAGTTATAAACTTATTACTCTGATGGGCCAACCTGTGGACCAACCCTATGTTGGACATAACAGCTCATTTATTCATCATAGATTAACATATTTTATTAAATGCAACAACATAAAATATATGTGTGTTACTCCTAATTTCCAATGATTTGATTTTATTGACTGAATATGATATTGTAAAAATCATTTAAAACAAACCATTAAATATTGGTATTTAAGAACTAAAACTTATTTTATGTATAAGTATACTTTCGTTGAGCGTTTCCTATTTTTAATTACTTAAAAATTTCATATTATAATTCTCTTGTCTTTTTAATTTAAATACTACACTAAGCCAATTGACTGCACTACATTTATTTAAATTATAATTTATTTAACCAATAATTTACCGCGCCGATTGTCATAGCACCCAATACAGCCTCTATGCGTTGCGATGGGTTTACATTTCAGCCTCTAAACATGCTAGATTACATTATTTACTTACAAATACGTTTACCTCATATAAAAATAGTTTGTAATGCGCCGTAATTTTGTCAGAATATATGGATTGTAAACAATTATAGAACCTACCCTTTTCGCACAATAAAGCCCAGTTTCTCAAGTCACCCTTGCTTCTAATCTCTTCTAATCTCTTGTGTGACACAGAAGTTACAAAATATGTAAATATTTTGTAATGCGCCGGAATATTTCGCTAATAAAAAAATATTGAATTAAACCTTTCTGCAAATTAGACTACAGTCCGGATTTTGATTTTACACCCACATCAATAATGTTTTATGTGTGACAACAATTGCGCGAAAACAATCATGTAAACACTTATGTTGTTTTATGTGATTTTAAATAAATGAAAATAATTTTGATGTTTCTAGTCTGCATTATTTTTATCAGCATTTTCTAACGAACGTTAATTTAAAAAACCGTTAATCGTTATTCGTTAATTTGAAAAAACCTCTGTTTTATTTCATTCTTCATCCAATTCATTCTCAAACGAGACCAGACATCAACAAAAAGTATCATCAAGCCAGACTTTTGTGACTAACACACGACCAACAACAACACTACTTAGTATAAAAACAGTTTACTTTTATTCCTCCTTTTGTTTCAGCGGTTCTTCCTCTGGATTCTCGTCCATACTGGCCGCGGTGTCGGTGCGAGATTTGTCCACTGGATATAACCTATAAATAAAAATTACAGTAACTATATTGGCTGAGCAATTTTTGAAAAAAATATATCTTTTTAATTATTATTGATTAACAGCTAGCATTTATTGCATAAACATAAGTAAATACGTAGGACCAAGAATACTACCCTGTGGGAGTTCAGAGCCAGTGAAGCCGGGATGCCGATTTTATTATTTACTTTCATCCTAGCAACAAACTAGAAAATAAATTGAATGCAAGAACCAGATTCAACAAAGAGATGTTGTAATTTTTAAGAGGGTCAAATTCAATAGTTCATTGTCAAAGGCGGGTTTCAGATCTAGAAATCATGTTATAATAGTAGTCCATTATGACTCAGATGAAGAACACAATGTTATTTAATTAATTTCCACTAAAATTAAATAAACAATAAATTGCCAGTACAAAAAAAATACAATAGTTATTTAAGGCATAAACAACAATCACTCACCATCTTTGGTACAGATACACCAAGAACACCAAATCATCGCGGAAGCAGGCCACTCGATGCGCAGTCGGCATTGTAATGATGAACGCAAACACGTCATCTATGAACGTGTTGAACGCCTTGTACATGAACGCTCGCCACGGCAGCGCCGCCACCGAGCGCAGACGGTAGTTTACAAATAACTGCGGCAGCATGAATAGGAAACCGAACGCGTATACGCCGTTTACTACGCTGTGGAGCGCCCATGAGTACCAGCTGGAATTAGAGACAAAATATGTAATTAAATAATTTATATTTACATCTACTATATAAAAATAAGTCGGGTTTTCCTCCCTGACGCTATAACTCCAGAACGCACGAACCGATTTCCACGGTTTTGCATTCGTTGGAAAGGTCTCGGGCTTCGTGAGGTTTATAGCAAAGAAAATTCGGGAAAAGGGGGTAAAACAGGATCCACGCGTACGAAGTCGCGGGCGGCCGCTAGTTCTGTGTAAATGAAATACAAGGCAATATGAGTCCAAACTAAGCTAGGCTAAAGTTCGTTTGTTTCAACCAAATTACGTCCGCTGCTAGTTAAAGGCCTCTCCCAAGGGTTTCCACTACAACCGTGCTTGCTAGATCTTGTTGTGCTTCCCGCGACCCTCACCATCGTGGGTTCAAGCGGTTGTTTGTTGCAAAAAATAGCACCAATTACGTATAATGTTACGCTGTGAAGCTTGATATGCCATTGTATACATATACTACCTCTTGTGCGGCTCGTAGACCAGCGAGTACACAGCTCCAGTGTTGCACAGTGGGTACAGCAGCATCACCTTGTATCTCATGGCTTCCGCATCGGCCGCCTGCGTGCTGCGCTCCGCCGCGTCGGTGTCAGACGCCACGCGGTACACGCGAGGACGCCATCAATCAAAACTACCTAAAAAGTATTTATATGTGTCACACAATAATCACCTCTTGTGCGGCTCGTAGACTAGCGAGTAAATAGCTCCAGCAATGCACAGCGGGTACAGCAGCATCGCCAGGTATCGCATGGCTTCCGCATCGGCCGCCTGCGTGCTGCGCTCAGCCGCATCAATATCAGACGCCACGCGGTACACGCGAGGACGCCAGCCAGCCCACGACACGCGTAAATGAAGGATCTTCTTCACTTTCCATAGCTGGAAAAGTCATAAGTATTTATTGTGAGAACTTGCGAAAGTGCCTTTTTGAGAAAGTGACCATAATTGAAAATGACATTTTGCGACACGACTTTATGCTCGTAAAAACTCTTCCAAAATGGGAATCCTTTTCGATCGCATGTATACTATTTGAGTTACTTGAGAAATCAACGCCTTTCAATTCACCGAGGGCTAAGGCTAACATGTTAGCATTAATGAAGTCCTGTAATATGCTAATGAGCATTAAAAATACTTCGGCTATAGTGTCGTGTCGTGTAGCATTAAATTACTGTTTTATGATCGTAAATCTCGCTTATCTCTACATTATGTTACAATAGCACTTACTGTGTACTCTTTTACTGTTTGTGTAACATGGAGATATTATATTGAATTGTTTTCCCTTAGTCAAGAAAATTAATATAGATACTACTTCTTCAGTAGAGCTACTACATGCATTGGCCTTTTTAAATATGACAAACATTAAAACTCTGGAATACTTTTTGAGGATACTTACCTCAATTAGGAGGCTTATGCCAGCCGGCACAAGTATTAACAGCGACGATTTTTCATCCAGAAGGTAGAAGAATATGATGAACTGCGAGAAAGCGCGCCAAAACACCGTGCGCGCAGACAATCCGGCCAGAGAACGTTTGCGCCGCCAGAACGAGACGTCATTCTTGAACGCCAGGAAATCAAATAGCAGCTGGAATGGAATAAAATTAACTAATTTCAAATTGATTGAACACTATCCCACAACTTTAACATAATTTATGTCCGTTTTCACCATCAATCCCTAATTTTTAAGTGACCCCTATGAATACAGAATTCCTGTTATTTGTTACCATAGGGGTCACTTATAAATTAGGGATTAATGGTGAAAACGGGCATTAGTAACCCTTAATAAGGGGACATAGACAGCCAGTCCTACAGTATATGTTAAACCTACAGACAGTATGTAGTGTTAATGTAAATAAGATTTTTAAAAGTAACAAGGAACCTAGTAAAATAACAAGAAACTGTTAGTTTTGTAGATGTGCATAACATTGAAATATATACTTTAGTTTACACCACAATGACTATGAACTGCCTGTCTTCAATAACATCAACTATCTAGATAATTAGTTAATTAACTTACATGACAACTAGCTATCAAAACTGTTGCTGATAGCAAGTACAGGTTTGTATCTGCAAATATCCCTTTCACATCATCCACATCTTGCTTGCTAAATCCGAGAGACAGAAGCTGATCTAACGCCAACCTCACGTGGAGTGCCAGCCGGAAAGATCCATATGACGTTGGAGACACATTCACAGTTATGTTCACTTGTGTTGTGCTGCTGTTCAGAAGTCTCAGGTTTGACATACGGAACTTGAGCACATTCTGTTGTAGTATCGGCAAGAATTTTCCTCCTCTTACTCTACAGAAAATAATAGACTTATCAATAATAACATAAAATTATTATAACCCAATTTTCTATATGAAAACACTTGCATTGACTGTACCTTATGTAAGGATAAAGCTCTCCAGGGATTTTTTTAGCAGGTAGAATCAGTTCATCCGCCAAAATCGACAATGGGGCTACACTTGTAATGTGAGCAAATGGTCTCACATTCAAGACTGGTTTTTTAGTTTCATCCGCCTGTAATACGAATTAATTGACTTTTTATGACTGAATAACTTAATAATATAAATAAATAATGGAAAGCAACTATATGTTTCTTTTTAAGNCTTTTAAATACTCAATGCACATTTCCTTAGTTTACACTTACATTTTTCTGTAACAGGTTGAATGTTTCAGCTTGAGGTTCCGTATGAGTAACTAATGGCATAGTGTGCACAGACTCTGTTCGATAGATCTCATCAAAATCTTTGTACAGGCGGTTGTCATCCAACAAAACAGCATGCATAAATAATGTGCCATTGTTGCGGGTCTTACGTGGAATCTTAACAGTAATATCGCTGAAAAAAAATCTGTTTCAGCAACAGCAAAAGAATTAAAATATTCAAATGAATAATAATTAACAACTTACAAAGTAGCCGGGTTTTTGTAGTCAAATTTCATCGCTGTATGAACTTTTGTGACAGATTCAGATATAGAGTTTTCGGTGAAAGGAAACTCTTTTACGGAAGTATACAGAACGAGGTGCTGAACAGGATTTGAAGCCAAATATGAAGAGAAACATCGTTCGCCACGACTGCATTTTGGTGGAATGAAAATCTCAGCTAAAGTCCATATTGTATTTAAAATATACCCTGCAAAAACTAAAGAAATAATCAGACTAACAGAAATATACTTCATTACCAAACAATTTACGTAACTATGTTAGAAATAAAATTATTTTCATCGAAAATTTTAGACGTGAACCGTGATGTTTTATTTTAAATGAAATGTCACTTTGACATTTTTTTTTCACGTTCTAAGGATTTTGTTGCTTGGCTTTTCGTTGTTTCGCCATTGTCGGTCAGTGATGTGCCACTGACAACTAATTCGTAAAACCGGTTTTCTTAAAAAAACTGTATCCATAGCCGTTGCATTAATTCTACGCTTCATTTTTTTTTCGCATCTTTAATCTGTCGTGAGAAAAGAAAACAAATTAAAAAAAAAACTTTAATGGGCGACGACAGCCAGGGTACGGAAACTTCCATACTACGATCAAACTTGCTTCCAAACAGCGACTTCAGTCGATAAATTCCAATACTTTTTTTTTTTCTTTATGGCTCTCGCGGATTGCGTTTAGCCACGACAGGGTTCTTGATTTTTGCGTTCAGTTTTGCCATAAGTTTTGCGGNTTCGAGAAGTTTCCTTTTTCCCGGTGCGCGACGCCAACGTGAACGGTCGATTTTGAGCTAGCCTATGTTGAAATATGTAAATTCCTATAAATGTTTGCCACGAAGTTTGTTTAGTCGTAAGCTTAAGTTTCAATAAATGAATATTGTGAAACCACGACTAAAATGACGCCCAACTCGAGGCCTTAACCTACGAACAGTACCGGCAAAGTACCTACCGTGAGTGCAGCAACGTGTCGAAACCTGTTTTTAGGCGTGAAAACAGTGCAATCTCGAACTTTACGAGTGACGATGGCTTCCGCGACGCGATCCAAGTGTGGGGTCGCAGGCAACCGCGACGACCACGACGACCACTCGGCGGCAACGGCGTCGGCAGCCGCGGGCGACCAGGGGGTCGCTCAGCACGGCGCCGACCGGCAAGCGACAGCGGCTCCGACCGCGCCCGGCGGCAGCGCCGCGGGCCCGTTCATGACCGAGTCGCAGGTGTCCTCCCTCCTGTCGGCCTTCGCGCGGTCCCAACAGGAGGCCAACCGCATCCTCTTCGAGAACCTACTGACGACGCTGAGCACCACGAGCACGACGTGCACGGGGCCGGCAGTACCGCCCCAGTCGCCACCGATGTCGACATCCGAGTCGCAGTTCCGAGGCGGGTCGTTCGCAAAATGCACGGCACGCTTCGATGGGCGAGCGGACGACGCCGACAAGTTGGAAGCATTTCTGGACGCCGTCACTACATACAAGGAGTGCCTGAGCGTGAGCGACGAGCACGCGCTGCGCGGCCTCCCCATCCTGCTGGTGGATGATGCAGCTGTGTGGTGGCGAGGGGTCAAGAACTCCGTCTACACCTGGGACGACGCGGTCGCGCGCCTACGAGGCATGTACGGCGCCGCACGACCGGCCTACAAAATCCTTCGCGAAATATTCGCGCAAGAGCAAGGACAGCAACGATGCGACGTGTTTATCTCGAAGACCTAGAAAAAAAAAAAAAAAAAAAAAAAAAAATTTTTTTTTCGCATTTTTAATCTGTCGTGAGAAAAGAAAACAAATTAAAAAAAAAACTTTAATGGGCGACGACAGCGTACGATCGTAATAAATCGGTGTCTCCAAGGAAATATTATTGATGTTTTATTCTGCTGAGAATGCCTAAGGTATATCATTTTATCATGTAATAAAAAGCAAAATCGTCGTTTATATCTAATAAAATTATGTTTATCTTAGTGTATGTGGCACTGTTTTGACAGTTGTCATTCCCTAGCTAATATTTTGTTTGTTTTCAGATTGGAATTATTCAAGAGCTGATGTTTCTTGGACATTGTATTAGTACGGAGTACCTGCGAGTAGCCTAATAAAATGATAACTATCAGTGAGGATATGTGCTCAACAGTAGATGGCCATGGATGCTAAAGATTTACGTACCGAAACTACCATAGGCGAATGCAATAATGATGGCAGCAGCAAGTTCGCTCAAGGCAGTGCTGCGCCCCCATGCAGCGTCAGCGAAACATACGAAAACATTTCAACTAACCCGCTGGCCAAATTGGAGGCACCGACGTCGCGTCCGTGCGCTGTCATAGGCCCAGACCGTATAGTGCCACCATCTAATGGAGATGGAGCTTACTCTAAAAAAGGTCATTATGACCCATGGCTCCATGTGGACAATACATACCATCCGCCACCGGAGTATCCCCATAAAATACCAAGTTACCAAAGTCCAATAAGAAACATATCACCTAGACAAACATTCCAAGAAAATATGCAACGTATTATGGTGCAACCTACTTACAATTCTGTCAAAATAAGTGATGATGCAAACTACCCACTAGACAGAAACACTAATAAAAATGGAAAAATTCCTGGCCCTCATGAGGCCAAGTACTGTGATGTGCCTTATTCTGTGAATGCTATTAATAGTGACCAAAAATCATCTGAAATGTGTTTAAGTAATATGAATAATTCGCGGAACTATCCACAAATGTGGCATCCAGGAGGTGTAGGGATAAGGCCTCCAAGGCCTTACGGTGCTCCAGAAATTTACCAATTTCCTGAGTACACCAGTTGTGCAGGTCCAAGACAGATGCCAATGCCAAGAACTCATCGGAGTGCTAATGAAGATCCCAGCCTTGCATATGGTGAAACATATTATTCTGAAGGTAACATTAGATATAAGCCTTATCCAACAGTCAAAGACAGGTATCCACAAACGAGGTATGAGTATGTGAGTAATTATGCTAATCCATTTCATCCTCCACCAACTTTTCCTTCGCATAAATATGATTTACAAAAACCTTTGCCACCGCATTTATCCTATCCCCAAGTTCCTATCAAGTATTTGGAGAACAGGATGAATGAGACTGTTATGGAAGGGTATCAAAGACCACCACTAAATTATAATGTTCCACCATACAGAAATCAAGTTATACATTCAGCATATGGACCAGTGATAGGTAGTAATTTACAAAACAAAGTTTTTCCTTACCCACCAGATGGTTCTGTTAAATCTCTAACTACAAACAAACTACCTTATGATAACAAACTCTATGCAGAGTATGAAAATGCCCGTAATAAAGGTTACCCTATGTCTGAAAGCATGTACTTCAATGAAATTGCTCGTTCACATGGGAAAACTCAACCTATACTCCCAAATTACCCTGCTGCCAGTATGCAAACTATTCATGCACACCCATATTACCGAAAAGACAATTTGGCTGCTAAGAACTTTGAATACATGTCACACTTTAGGCATTTAGATCCATCTATGAATCCTAATCTATTGACCAGACACACAAACCAATTTTCCCCTACTTCAATAGCCATTTCCCCATCAGATTCCAATACAAGTAATGAAACAGCACACACCCATGGGGGTTCTCTTGAAGACTGTGGATATGCAAGCCAGTCATCCACTGCTAGTGTTAGAAGTTTTGATTCAGGTCTTGGAAGGATGATTCCTAATGACTTTCACAGAAGATATAATTATCCATATCAGACAATGGTTAGAGCATCGACACTGTCATCTAAACCAGAAGGGAGTGGTTCAGCCACTAAGGATAAGAAGGGTATTGATGTCAGGCAATATCTGCAAATGTGGAATGAGGGAGAAGAAGAGCATAGTGGCAAGGAAAAAGAAGTGGTGATGCAATCAGATTTATTGTCAAGTAAATTAGCCAATCAATATGAAGTTATGAAAAATAATGAACAACTTTATGTTCTTGGTTTAGTTAATGTCCCAAGTGAAGAGTTGGGCAAATATGAACATATACAGAAAATTTCTAAATTGCCTGATAATATAAAAGGCTATAACAACATTGAATTGCTTAAACATTTCGAGGAGGCTATAGAGTCATCTAATGTAGGTCATCTCAATCACAAACCACCAACACCCAGGAACTACCAGTCTATGAAGAGTTCTTTAATTCAAGGGGCAGGCATGTTGCCACCTCGTCCATTATCGCCACTTGATGTTGAAGCAAAAATAAGTCAATCTGTCATTCACAAAGAAGTTGGTTGCAATTTTGAAATCAAACCATGCAGTCCAGAAATGTTAAATGTTGAAGTGGCAACACCTGCTCAAAGTGTTCTAGGAGAAGAAAGAGTTATTGAAAAAGTTTCAAACCCAATGATTGCTAATTCGCCAATATTAAGTAGCACTCGTGAGAATGAAAAACATTGTGATATGAGTCAAAAAGAACACAGGATAATGCTAAATGATAATGTCAAAACTCAAAGTTGCAATATGATAAATACTCAATGTTCAAATAATGAAGATGTCAATGTCATGAAGGCAAATTATAGTCTTCAGGACTTAGAGAGTAATGCAGGTGTATGTCTTGCTTCTTTGCCGAGACTTGATAATGACATTGAGTTGAATTTTCCTGAAGTTAATCAACAATTTATTAATGCCAACAAAGAATCGGTCATTATCGCCAATGATTTTCCAATTGAGATGGATGTCATGACAAATAATGATGCCTATCAGACAGATGAAGATTTTGCTACGAAATCAGAAAACTCATCTAATGTATTGCCAATATTAGAATCAGATAAAGAAGTTTCGAAACTGAGTAAGTACAGAAAAGTTAAGAGGAATGACACAGAATGTAAAGACAAGCAAACATTATCAGCATCTCAATCATTGAGAACTGACAGTGTAATTATTAAAAATCCAGAAAATACAAAATGCATAGAGAAAAATACAGAAACAAATGATCATTGTGAGATGAAGACAAGTGACTGCCTATCCGTAAAGCATCACATGTTAAATGATGAACCTGTTTGTCATGATAGCAAAGAAATGGACGATGATGTAACTAATGATGAAGAAATGGCTATTGATTTTAGTTTAAGCAAAAATGAAAATAATCTTGATGATAAAGATTCTAATTATTTGTGTGAACTGTATAATACAGAAAAATCAAATTCACCTTGCAGTGAATCAAATTCTGTCTACCAGCAATTAGTAGAAGATACAAATAAAAATTGTTGTAATTCACCATCTGTTAACTCAAATGATTATACAACCAAAAGTCCTGTGTCTGATGAAATTAATGATATTAATGCATTTCCTGTGTCTGATTCCAATGACACTAAATTGCATGAAAATGATATTAAAAATAATGAGGACAAGGAAGAATACTCTAAAGAAATCTCTGAAATATTGTTAGATAGAGATGACAAAGAAACTGAAAGTATAAATACTGACAATGTGTCAGATATCAATAAAATAAATAATACAGTTCATGATCATGAAATAGTACAAGCAAAAGATACTGTCGATTACGAAATCGATTCTTTACAGAATGTAGAGTCAAAAATTCATAGTCAAATGTCTACATCTACAACAAAAGTAATTGATGACAATGATACGATATTATCTACTGAAAATATATCAGCATTAAAGAAAAAATACAGACTTAACGGCGAAAATAACCACACAAACCTCTTCAATGAAGGAAGGCCACATTCACTTGATAATAATAATTATAACATTGAAAATGACGAAGTTCATTGCGAATCCATAGCAATTGAAGGTACAAACACATACGATAATAAAGAGTATTTAGAAAGAGTATCTCACAATGATACTATGGAATCGCATGATAATTACATTTTAGTAAAAAAATATTTAGAGGTAAAAGTTGTGAAAAAATCTATACATAAAGAATTATTTTCTCCTCGGATACAAAATCTTCTTCTTTGGAGCGAAGGGCAAAATGGTTTAAAATCTTTCATTACCAATCCAAATGTGGCAGTTTCCACTGAAGACAATTTGAACATATTTAACAAATTACCTATTAAAGATAACCCCACCAGTCAATCTGATAAACAGAACATCACAGTAGACAATCAGATATTTATTACAAGTTATAAGCAGCAACCACCATCTAAAGACTGTCCAAATCCTGATTTAGGTGTTGAAGATTGCACTTTAGACAATTTAGGCAGTGCCATGGATTCCACCGATGAGCTTCAATCAGAGAGTGCAGATCTCAATGACTGTCCTGTTCCAGACTCTAATATGGAGATATCAAATGTTAACAATTTGATTAGCACCATCGATCCAATCAATACTAAACTTCAATCAGAAAGCACTAAACCTGAGGACTGTTCTATTCTTGATGCAAATACAGAAGTTTCCGCTGTAGAAAATTTAAACAGTGTTGATGACTCTAGCAGTACTGAAATTCAACCAAAATGTACTGACGTTAAAGAACTCAAGTTAGATATTAAGGATTGCCCTGTAGATAATGTACGCACTGTTAAAGATTTGTCGGATAATAATCTTCAAACAAATTATACTGAACTTAAAGATCCTATTTCTGACGTCGTCAATGAAGTTAACACTGGAGACAAACTAAACAGCGTCATAGATTGTTTAGGTACTGAACCTGAATCAAAATCTATTCGAGAAAGTCCTATTTCTGATATTGAAATTTCCGAAGTAGATACTATAAGGACCATCAAACATTTCACCGAAAATGACCTCCAAATAAAGTGTAATAATGACTGTCCAATTGTAGAAGACAACACTATGAATAATCTTAAGAGTGTTACTGATGATGATAATGACACGTCTGTAGGAGAGTCAAAATCTACTTATGTTGAAGAAAGTGGCTTGGATGACACGTATGATAGGGTTTCAACTGTAAATAACTCAAGCAGCGTTGAAACGATCTCCAATAATGAATCAAATAGTATCAAAGGTTTTGATAAAAAATTGCTTCATTCAGAATCTTCTAAAGATTATCCTATTTCAGAGTATGATGAACAAGTTAATACCAATGGCAATTCCCAAAATCTCCCCAAGGATGTTAAAAATTTTACTAATTATGAGGTTAAATCAAACTTGCATACCACTTCCGATTTAATTGTAGAGGTTCCTGCTGAGGATCATGCGCAAAGTAATGAAACTACTCAGAGCTTGACTAATGAGCATCTTACTGAATTTGCTAATCTCAAAGAATGTCCTATTCCTGCTTCGATAAATGAGGATTTCACAAATAAAGATTTGGCTAGTAACAAACTTCTATCAGAACCGAAAACTAGCGAAAACGACTCTCCTAGTTCTGTCTCAAATTTTAAAAATTTGGCTCCCATCTATGAACTAAACAGTAAAAATACTGTGCATCTGTCAAAAGTTACAAATGTTTGTGACTCAAACACTGAAATGCCTGTGGACAATATCAAGGATGATAAGGATTGTTCTTTTTTGTCTATGAATACTCAGTATGAAAGTGTTAATACTATCCAACCTTTCACCAAAACTGAAATTCAAACAGAACTAATTAACAAAGACTGTCCTAATTTCGAATCTTCAGAGATTTCTCCTGAGGATAATCACAGCAATTTCAAGGATATTACTAATATTATCACACACAGTCCTCTTAATATCTCTGATGGAAATGTGGATAATTTAACCGCTGTTAATGATTCCATCAACGATGAACTTGAATCACAATCTAACGATACTAATACTGAAGTATTTATAAATAAAGATTCCGATTTCGAAGACAAATATGATAATAATCAAGTACCAGAAGATATAGTAACTGATGATGTTCTTTGTTCACCAAATCATGAGTCATTCGATGCTAGCGTTTCTAATTTTACCCAATCCAATAATGATGAAAGTGAAATATTAGATGAAGCTGTCTATCATTATGACTGTTTACAATCAGACTCCGGTATACATGACATAGAAACAGAAACTAGTATTTGCAACGAACGAGTTGAAGAAACAGAAACTAGTGTTTGTGAAGAACGAGTTGAAGAAACAGAAACTAGTATTTGTGAAGAAGTTGAAGAAACAGACGTTTTAGATGAAGCAAACGCTTTCAGTGCACAGTATTCAGAGAAAGTACTTGATGTAGTAAAACAAACCGATGAACTTCCAGAAGTTTTGGTAGCATCAAGTACAAAAGATGCACCTGGTAGACGTTGTCTGAAAAGATCTTTGTCAGATTCTGCTTTAAATTTGTATGACAACGATAAAGTAGATGATAGTTTACATGATATTCAACTGCATAATTTAATTACAACAAAAAGACGTAGAAAAAACAATCACTTTTTAAATGTTTGCGAGTCTAACTACTCTGCTACTGACGTCCTTAATTTTCATAATAATAGAAGGAATTCAATTTGTTCAGTTTATAATGAAAACATGTCCTTTTGTATAGTTATAGATGATAACTGTATAATTACTGAAGAAAACGATGAGGGAGAAAAAATATGCTATACCGAAATACCTGAAGAATGTTTAACAGCTATTCATGCTGAAAACATTGACGAAGCCGATGTAGATCATACTTCAGAAATCATTCTTTGTCCTCAAGAAAGTACTGATGAATATAACGAAACTTTTGTCTTGGAGATGTCTGAAGAAAAAACTTTAGAAGAGTCTTGGGTTGATGATGTAGCTTGCGTAGAAACTGTTGTTAGCGATGACGTTGCTGAAGACATTGAACTAAGCGCTCCATCATCTCCTACGGAAATTGATGAAAAAGAAAATGATGAATCTGACATTTTTGCGAGTGTCAGTGATCACACCGAAAAAGTTAAATACATTTATGGCGATAAAATGTGCAACGATGATGCTGAGCTTGTCGAAACATTGTATAGAACACCACAAATGGATGTAAATAAAACACTCGTTAATAGAGAATCTCATATCACTGATGACAACGACGATGATGATGATGATTACGAAGAAAATCCCGTAAATAATGATGACGAGTTTGAACCACCTAATCCAAATATGTTACTCCACAAATCTGATAGTGGGAACACTTTGGAATCAAACCTTGTGCATTATAATAACACATTAGATAATGATTTAGAAAATATTAATCCCACAAGTGAGCTACCAGAAACTGGACACAATATTCCTACTACAAGACATGATCAAACTGAAACAAATAAGTCCTCGACATTGTGTGACGTATCACAAGACAATAAAATAAATTCATGTGAATCTAGTGTCGATGAAGTCTTTTCATACACAAAGGATGAAAGCTCCGCTAATTCTTCTGCTTTTAGCTCCCCAGAAGTTTCTTCAACTACATCAGAAGATAGGAATACTTCTACGTTATTATTAAAAATCACTAATTACCAAGGCACAAGAACTTCACAACTAAACAATATGAATTTTACTAAAACAAATAGTTGCAAGTTCACAGAAAATATTAATTACACAAATTTTATTAGTAATTCAAAAGAACCTCGACCTCTGATAACTAAAGCGGCTCAAAAATATATTCCGCCTCTAAAGGAAACCGTAGAAGATCTTAAAGTGAAACTTCCTTTATCAAAAGAAAGACTGATGCAATTCCAACAGTTAAAAATGTCAAGAATTGGAAAGAAACATACATCTTCTCCAAACAAAGATATTCCAAAGAAAATAAAACCAAAGTTTGAAGATGTTCTCAAAAGTATTGATGAAATACAATTTAAAATGCATAAAGAAAAGAGAAAGAAACCAAAAAAATCTGTTCCTAAAGTAGTAATTAAGAAAAACGAAAATGGGTCGCACTATGCAAGCACTAACAAGGAGTGTTTTAACCCCGACCTGACAGGAAGAAAATGGCAACCTTGGGTTTTTATAGAAAAAAATGCTTTTATTGATAAAATGGCTTTGAGAAGAAAAACGAAAGCGGTATTTAATCACAGGAAAAATACATTTGTATTTGCTGATAAGTTTAAAAAATATAAATCTATACCGAGCGCAAAGTTCGTAATAACTCAACCAAAATTAGATGATTCATCAGTGGGAAAACTAAAATATACTATCAGGTTAAAACACAGTTATTGAAGGTAGTTTGTTTGTAGCTTAATTTGAATTTGGTTATTAATTTTGCCATTATAGCACTAATTTAGTTAATAATCCCACCCTAATTTTTGGTCTCGTAATTGCATTCCTACGATATCATAGATTTTATTTAATAGTTACCCAATATACTTCACATATTCTAGATTTATTTACTTGCACTAAATAAATACCAAATTCTGTTTATAGTGTGATATAAAAATAATAAAGAAGAAAATTTAATTTAGGGTAGGTATGTGTTTATTTATGTTTTTCGATAGTGCAATTTGATCTGAATTTTTTATTGTTGATTTCTTAAAAAAATATTGTTATTTGTTTTTTTAACGTCATTCCATTTTGAGTAGTAGTAGTACCTATCCAAATATTTTGTTTAAAATTATTTTATCGTGCACTGTTTATGCACTTCAATAGCCATTAGAAGTATTAGATTACCTGTATAAAAATAGAATATAAGAAAAGATATATTAGTTATTTATTAATTTTACATTATACATTTGTTGTATTGTATATGTATGTACCTACATTATTCACAAAGATATGGTTGATATTTTTAAGGTTATTGATAAAGGCGACGAAAAAATTGTCGTCGTGAGCTATGTTTTGGTCCCTTGTCTTTTTGTACCTACAGCGGGTGCTCGTATAAATATTTACCGCTTTTGTTTTTAGCTTTGGTCCAAATATGTATATCTGGGTAGCCGGTTAAGTAATTTGTATTGTACCTACCTAAGAAAGAAGAATGAAAATGACCACACCAATTGTGGCGGTCAATGAATTGCTCACTAAGTTTTAAGCACATTATCTATATTTAATAATGTTTATATTTTGACTGCAAATTATGAATGTGGTGTTTTTAAAGGATGAAGTACAATGATTGTAAATTTCTTATACATTAATCGTGATAGATTGTAATGAAATGAACTTCTACAAAGAAGCCTAGTAAATACGTCGAGTAGTTCAAAGTTATGTGATGTTGCATTGAAACAGTATAGAGTAAGCATACGTATGTGAATGTGAGTAATAAAATTAAAGCGTGAAATAACCACATCCAATACTCAAAAAGTAATAGTTTATTGAAAAATTCGCGTCTTAAAACCCTGATGAAACACTTAAGATTTTTTGACCCATGATACCATGGTGAAGGGTCAATATGGTCACTCACATTAACATAGCTCCCACAGATCCATTGATTAGTATTTTTTTTTTCAATCAAGGTATAGTCACTATTAATTAATATACAGGGTGTTAGGTAAATGGGTATATGAGCCGACACTAGCCTATGTTAACATGGGCATATAAATGGTATGGTGAAGTCAGAAAATTGATATCTTCATTTTAATTATTTTAATTTTCATACAAATCGGAATTTATAATCGGAATCTTCATTTTAATTATTTTAATTTTCATACAAATCGGAATTTATAAAATTTATTTTGTATGAAAATTAAAAAAATTAAAATCATGATATCAAATTTCTGACTTCACCATACCATTTATATGCTCATGTTAACATAGGCTAGTGTCGGCTCATATACCCATTTACCTAACACCCTGTATATGTAATATCATATAAGACTTTAAACTGATGCATTCCATCCATTACATTTAAAACTGAGTAGAACGGGTCTCAAATACGACATTATGGGGTAGTAATGACTACTGCAATAAATAACGTTTGAGTGAGATCAGTAACAAAATTGTTTTCAGTTTTAAATGTAATATCTTATTAATTTCTCTTAAATAACTACTTGAACTAAATATTTTCATTACCAAACACAGTGCCTTCTATTTTATTGTAAACAAACTTCCAATCAAAATGTTTAAAACATGAAATTTGATCTCATAACACTTTCGCCATTTCATATTTTTGCCTGATCGTGCCTAAAGAAGTAAATATTACTATATTAATATACAAGTAATTTACTATTTTTATAGTGTGTACAGGGTGTTAAATAAATATACCAAATATATGCTTTTAAGACCAACATTTTAAATATATTATTTGCAAGTGTTGCCTTTGTAGATAAGTGTAATAAAATCGTATAAAGTAACTTTGTGGTATAGGACATGTTGGTCGTGTGAGTGTTGAGCGATTTGTTAAAGTGATTTATTTATTAAAAATATTTTTATTGTAATATATTAGGTGTAAGTTAGAAGTATATTATGCGTTGGTTAGAATCCCTTGTGGATAGTAAATGTACAAAAATGGGCATTCATTTGAGAGATGTTCTATTATGATTATGTTAAGCAGTCGAGGCTGATCTTAGATCATTTTTCGTTTTATGAAGAATCCGCAACATATCCCGAATGGGTTTTAGATGATTTTCTTTACCCGTTAAAACCAAATAAATATGTGCCGCCGCCCCATGTATCTTCCAAAGATGTTTATTGTTTTCCTCATAGTCTAGTATTGACCTGTTATAAACTTCAAATATATATTTAAATATGTGCGTAAAACACACTATTGTATAACCACTTAGTAGTAATTATCCACTCAGTACATATCGATCAGATGACTGAGATTTGTTTGCCCAATGTTTTGTTTTTCGGGACATTGTGTGGTTGTTACGCACTAATGAGTGGATTGTTATTTTTTATTATTTTCCTGCACTTTGTTGGCCATTTGTGAGTTTTGAATAGGTACTTTGAATTGTGGTTAATCACTATTATTTAATTTAAGGGTTTATGGACTTCGTTATAAATAGCTATAAAATGTTTAGATAATTGTTTTTTCGTTTAATGTTAACGCATATCTTTATGCCAGTAACGCACCGTCGTGACGAACGTATATTCGAAATGTGTATGTAGTGGGTGGTTTATCAGTCGACAGTTGGGTATATTGTTTTTGTGTGTTCTAGTTTGAAAAATGTTCTAATATTGACCAAATAAATGTGTTCTAAATAAAAAAAAAACTGTTTATTTCACAATATTTTATTCATTATGTTCAACTACAATTAAACAGGGATAGTAACTTTCACGGCTTCTTGACGAATAGCGCTGATGAGATCTTGATTAATCAGGAAAACGAAGCGCAGACCGGCAATCTGTGTAAATAACATGAAACTATTAATTTATTTACTTACGCGAGTTGTTAAACTCAAAAATCTTTAAACCACCAGAACTTCTCGTAGTTCGTAAAAGAAAGCAATAAACGGATCTTAATCGGTGCACACGGTCACCTTGTGTACGAACAAAATATTTAACTATAAGTAACAAAAACAAAAAGGACTCGAAAATAACACAATATTGAAATAAAAGCTGCACAAAACATTGAAACGTACGAGTATCATTAACCCTTAACCACTGACGTACGTACGTGGTACGTCGGTCAAACGGGTTTTCGTTCAAAACTTCATTTTGTGCGGGAATTTTTGCGTGTCCTTTTTGGTAGTTTCCTAGTGGCCAGAGATGCGTGTGTGACGGGAGAAAATAGATGGGTAGCACGTTCCTAAGTAGTTGAGATAGACCACCCGACGTATGTGGTACGTAACGTCAGTGTTAGTGTAACTTTTTCAACATCGCTTTTGTATGTTAGTCCATAGATAAAATTAATTGTTAGCATTCTAATTTATTTACTTGGCCGTCTACATATAAAGAACCTTATTTACGCCAAAAATTTATTACAAATGACGAAGAAATTAGCAAAAAATCCAGTGGATGAAAATGTTTATATTAGTTGCGGTTTTCGAGGACAATCATCATGATGGTGAAGGAGCTTTAATTCGTGGCTTTGGATTTGACTTCTTCTGAAGATTGTATACCATATTTTCATATTTCCTAGCTAGTTTGAAGCACGGCAAACTGGTGACCAGGTCATCAAACAAAGAAAGACTATAGAAAATAGCCTTCCTAAATGAACCGTATTAAAAAGTGACTTAATTTGTGAATTATAGCTATTGTGATTTTTTCCTGATTAAAACTGTTATTAATCTTTAATATGGCCAAAATAGAAGTTCCTAGTGTTATCGAATATTTTTGTGTTGATTTAAAAAAAATGCCTATGTAACTTTTATTATATCTGGAGGATTTCACCAATATCATACTATTCTATTAAAGTTGCTATGATTTTTTTACTATCTCTGTTTAATATAAACATGTGTAAATAATATAAATTCAAATTTTACCAAAGTTACACTCTATTGATACATCAGAAGGTCTTCAAAGTTACGTACGTATGCCGTACGTACGTCAGTGTTAGTGTAACAAAATGACACGTCAGTGGTTAAGGGTTAATACTAAAATCGACTGTTTAAATTAGTTGCAAAGCATTTTTGCTTACAATTGGAAACCGAATAAATTAACATATTTATGTAAATTGTACATAATATATTTACATATAATTGAGTAATGCGTTTTAATAGGTATTTTTAGTAACTTGGTGCTTGATGTGCACGATCACGCACAGCATTTTGAATTAAGGTAAGACACTTCTGAGGTATTATTAAAAATTGATTCTAAAACACCGATGGTTCGTAGTAGAAAAAAATAGTTTTATTGATCGGACTAAAACTGCCTTTTTTGTCTCTTACCTAAACGATACAACGACCCGAAACTAACCAACAGTAACAGGACAATTTGTTGCCACATGTTAATTTAATTGAAGTACCTACTTATTTGTAAATTAACGGTTGTAATGTTCAAAAGTAATTGCGGAAAAAATTCAGCAATAGAGTTTCAGATACGTACCTCTATAACGCTGTTGTGGTTGAGTTTCACTTTGTTGCCTTGAAGTATCGGGCGACCGTCGACAAAAATCGGCCTCTTGCCCTCTGAGGACATGAAGAAGTCTCCGCTGTTCCGGAGACGGATCGTCGCCTGTTTCCTGGACACCTTCGCTGCCGGCCCTTCTAGACTCAGATCCACGTCAATTGTGTGGTCGCGCGTGCTGCGCCCAACAGCGATCTACAAAAAAATATTAATCTAAATCACTTGTTATCAACGTCATTATTATATCAAGGATCTTGATTATTTGCAAAGATGTTTTTCTGCGTGTGCCTTGAAGTAATGAGTACCTACATGTAAGAGCGATTAATATCTCGGTATCACGGCAGTTATTGCATAAGATTATTGGCGTAAAACGTATACACAGTTGTTAATAGACATTTTTAATTAGTAGGTATAGAATCATTGAACAGGATCATGGCTTTTACCTAAGTTTATTATAGTCATGGTGTGGTGGTACAGATAGATACTACATTTATATCAAAAACTTATCGTAGTCTATCTTTATCGAAGAATCAAAATACTTAATAAGTATTATTTTAACTCAAAATATCATAAAAGAAAGAGCGCTCAGCGCGCGTCTCCATCAATGCCTGTTACCATTCCTACTTGGTTTCTAAAGGCTCAAGATTTCAAGAAATTCGTAACAATTCGTCAACGTTTGTAAAAAAATCAATACATTTAGCTACAGTGTTATATTATCATATTTTTCAGTTAAAATAAAAGAATAATTGCTCTAATTTTTTTAAATAATATCATAATACATTTTAATATTAAGTAAGTATTTAATCGTATAAATCGGCGATGACAAACTATTAAGACCGGAATAAAACAAACCGTCGCGTCGCATCGTAGTCGCGTTATAAATTTCGTACAGCGCCATCTATGAGTATGTAGAGTAGAAGATACGTTTGTTCATCTACCTTCTATTTGTCAACTCAACGGATAAAAATAGTATTATATTGCAAAACCGAACGTAAACTACATAAGATCCCAGTGATAAGCTTGATGTGCCGTCGGAGCATAAATAGTGAGTAGTACTTACATAAACAACCCTACCTGTTCTAATCTATGGTTAATTGCCTAGGTACTTGAGGAACCAATAAAGCGTTACCTTATTCAACCTGAATATCGTGTAATTGTTTGAAGTTGATAAATTAGTAATAGGTATACTTGTGCTGTACACCGTGGTACCCACCCATTTATACAGGGTGTTAGGTAAATGGGTATATGAACCGACACTAGCCCATGTTAACATGGTCATATAAATGGTATGGTGAAATCAGAAATTTGATATCATCATTTTAATTTTTTTAATTTTCATACAAAATTAATTTTATAAAATCCGATTTGTATGAAAAATAAAATAATTAAAATGAAGATATCAATTTTCTGACTTCACCATACCATTTATATGACCATGTTAACATGGGCTAGTGTCGGCTCATATACCCATTTACCTAACACCCTGTATGTGTATTGTGGCATAATAAATGAGATATTGGTGTTGACACACTAATTGTACTGACTGATAAGGTTATCAGTATTATCAATGTAACATAAACTCAAATAAGTACATATAGTGAACGCAGTTACACATTCAGCGTCCGCCGCTTTTATGAATCTACAAGTTCTGTTTTAATAATTAGAAATTAAATTTTTAACGTCATTTATGAATTAACTGAATAATTAAAATAATATGTATAAAGTGAGGACCGCCAGGTTTTATAGGATACCAGCTTATTAGTGTTCTAAGTTAAAAAAATATATGTCTCCTGAATGAAAGTAAGTCATATTAAACTGCAACAGCATTTAGAAACGAAATTTTATTTCGTAAGTATACCGATAGTATCATTACGACTTGATTTAGATTGGTACCCTTCTAAGTCTTGTTACGGTACACCGTTTCACACCAGGCTACTCCAGAGTCAAAACGCTAACTCTAGAAGGCAAGTATTAAAATACAGAAAATTACCAATATAATCCTGCTATTCTCTCTACATTTGCGTTTTGCAGAGCGCGCACTCGCATGCTATTATCACTATCGCACTACGGTTGTGAGTTGTCGGCAAACACCATCCTCTTATTTTGAGGAAGGATTGGGTTTAGTAGGTTATTTTTAGAATACTTAGATATAAACGAGGAAAATCCATAAGTTCCAAAGATATGGTTTGTAACATTACCAGCGCTTAACACGTATCACTAACAGCCGGAATGACCTACTAAAGTGGTTAATTGTACATTTTCAGTTGCTTTTAGTAGTTTCATTTATCTGCTAGATGTCCTTGTTGTAATTGTATTCGTACTTCGGCTGTTTCTGCGTTGTAATAAGGTACAATGCTGCGGTAATACTAAGCCTAGGCGCAGACCACCGATTTTTAGTTGGCCGATAGTTGGATCGGGCTGTAGTACCTATGGACATGTAAATGTAAGTGCGCACATTACACCGATTTTTTATATCTGCCGATTTTTCATACAAATTAGAATCAGGCCGAACTATCGGCCAACTAAAAGTCGGTGGTCTGCACCCTAATCTAATACACCCCCGACTACAGATTTAGTCGGGCTCAGATGGATATGTATGAAAGTGCGCACATTACACCGATTTGGTATCGGCCGATTCCATTTTGAAAGCCGATCAAACTATCTGATAAGTCTGTACCTAATCTCTGGAGAGTCTAAGTAAAAGTACCGTCAAAACAAACTGGTTAATTAGAGTGCTCCCGCAACTTTAACTGAAGGTATGTCCAACGATATAATACTAACAAGTCACACCGTTAGAGTATACTTTACTTATATTTGTCAAAACGGTTAAACTGAAGTTCATTGCCACCACATAATAATATTCCGACATAGATAAGGAAGAAAGATGGGCAAGTTTTACATGACTGAATGTTTTTCGAGACTTCAGACAATAAAACGTTTCACGGCTTTATGTTCTTTGATCTATTGACGCAAGGGAAAATAGTACCTAATAATAAGGTAAGTTATTCAATTAGGTAGGTATAATTTACATGCATGATTAATTTAACTAAGTAAGTATGAACTAATCTACTCAACGACTTACAAACTCTACATAAAAAATAATTATTTTGTATACGTTTATTACGTTGATATACCAGATGTCTGATTTCCATAACGTGTGTCTATACACAATAAGTATTAAAATTCGAGGTCAGTTAAAGAAATAATATAGTTATTTTAATTATTTGGCAAAATTAGCTTATGTTCTGTTGTCTGCACGTACCGAAAACATACTTATTAATTTGTTGGTAATCATCATCATCACTACCCATATTATAAAATTATGAAGATTGTTCGGTACTCTTTCACGCAAAAACTACTAATTGGATTTTGATGAAACTTTACAGTCTAACTGTTTATACATCAGAGTAACGTATACTAAAGCTATAATTTATCACGATCTGAAACAAACTAAATTTCACGCAGGCGAAGCCGCTGAAAAAGGCTAGTGAAAAATATACCTTCTTCATGGAACGTTAAAACTGAACGCTTGACTTACAATGAAAAGCTAGGTATAGTACAACTCTGACAACATACATTACTGCGAATATCCATATTATAGCAACCGTCATCACTCGTAATGCTTGTAGGAAATCGATATTCATCATGATTTTTTATTTTATTACCCAGAACATTTTAATACGCGCACATCAATAGCGAACAATACTTAATATCTTTATAAACATGATTATAGTGTACTTATTTGGTAATCATGAAATGTTGAACCGCTGATTGCGATTATGAAATTTCTTATCTCCAAATTCAGATCCTACCGTGTAATAAAGTTTTTTATGAAACACTCAACGACTGGGCGGCCGACACGCTCAATTACTCATTTCGATTAAAAATGAAATGCGCAGTATGGGCATGGAATGATAATGTACGACAAGACATGATTAGCTACGCGTTAGGCGTTAACGCTAGGAATGTGATTACTGCCTAGGCACTGCCCACTAGTTATAAAATTAACACTTCGCCTTAATTTGGTATGCAAATTCCTTGTACGTTTCTTAAATATTCATGAATTATGATTTTTTATATGACATAGTAAGTTGGTTTGATTCTATCATTCAAAGCATACCTAATGCTTGCTCTTATCATTAATCAAAATCGAAGGGCAGAAATATTTCCAAAGTAACGGTTTAAGTACCTGAGAAACAAACATCGATTAAACGAAGTTCGATGTAAGATAAATCGATATTAGGCAGCCAAGTAAGCGATGTGAGAGGGCACAGGTGAGTAAAGGTTTATCCCTGTTTTTGGAAGGGGGACACGTACGCAAAAAAAAAAATGGTGTCAAACCGAAACTCACGTGGGCGAAGTATAGTTTGTCACTAATACATTTAGGTCCGATTCGACCAAACTTTTATCCGATAATAACTATTGGTATAACTGACACATTGACAGTTTCAGTATGGGAAATAAATATGNATATGTACTATGTCAAAATGTCGAATAACTGACTGATTTATTCTGAGATTAATATTTACTCTTGTTTGGTCGAAACCACCCTTAGCAAACTGTACTCTTGCTGGTATTCCAGGATACTTTTTCAAACTTTTAAGTAAAATTATGATCATGTCATCACTATATCGTCACCGAGTAGGTCATGGCTAATGAGTTAACAATGTGCAGGTTATATAGGTACCTACAAACCACGGCAGCCAACGAAAAACATGTAACTTAGTTCGAAAACTCGTTTCGAAGTAGCAAGATATTTCACTGATCACATTTTCTATAAGTGTTTGAAAAAGAACAGCGTCGAACTCAAACTTGGTACCGTATCTACCGGACATTGATGGAGTTCCGTGAGTCTTCAATTAGATCCATTACCGATATGTTTTGAATATCGAATGCAGCAACGATGCAAAACAATGGTCTTGTTATTGAGGGATGTTGTGTAAACATGTGAATGTGGGCAATGGCGGTTCGCAAAACATCGTCGCGCCGAAGAGTTACTTCACAAGAACTTACTATATTCATTTTAGTCGGACCAATCGGGCAAACCATATAATTTCAGATCACATAATGGTATTGTTTTAGCATAAAATGTATTTAATTGTAAATCAAGTAGTTTTAAAATAAACTAATATTTTTGATAATGAGCACTATATGGCGTCATAGCTTGGTTTTCCCCTAAGTATTGAGTAGCATTT